TTTAGAGCTATTATCAGACTAATAGAAGTTTCTCTAGAGCGAGAGTTAAGTCTTTAGAGAACGGTCGTAGTATAGTATAATTATATGTATTAATTATATATACGTATTTACTCATTTATTATAAATAACACCAGTATAATCAAGCTTGACGACCTTAGCGTATATTATAGGTGGAGAGTATTTAAAAAGTAATTCTACACGTCAAAAGATGCTTATATGGTATGGAGAGCAATTTAATCAAAAAAAACTGATTCGGATTGTATGATACTGCAAGAATACAGTGGCATTGATGGTTTAAAACACTGTTTTTATAATCACACTCTAACCGTATTGAAATAATTTATAGGAAAGTTGTGAGCTCTAATAATCCAACAATTATGTGGGTAATTAAGGTGGTAGATTGTATAGCCTAATATTGTAGAGATTATGTGATTAATTTGTAATTTGTACAAATATAATTAGGGATTAGGGCTTGTAGAAGGTACATTTATGATGTTTGGGTTGGAATTGTGATATTAAGTTGTATTTTCAAAAGTCAGCACCGAAAATATATTATAGTATATAGTCTCTGGCCTCGATAGAGACGGTTATCGGTGCTTTTGCCAAAAGAATATGAAGTTTTGTCTTAATATGAGTGTAGACGACAACACTGATGGATGGGGCTTGGATAGTGGTTTAATGAATTAATTGATATCATTACTTAGATTGGACAGATTATATTAATCAGGTAAAGATCAGATAAGTAGAGAGAGTTAAAAAACCACAAAATAAGCTATACCTGTTTTAGCACTATAAGCTCTCCTCGTGAAGAGCGAGGATGTCGATGTGCTCCAACATTTTTTAGTGTCCAAATTATTTATCTGATTTTGGGAACTTTACGCATCTGAATAAAGTATATTTTGAAGCTCACACATCAGTACATATGTAAATACAAACTATGCAATAGTTTGAGAGATGTATTACTCTATTTTAAATCTTATAGTGAGATTATTTAAATTCTCAGAGATTTAAGTCTTCTTATTAATTAATTTTTAACACTTTTAGTTTTCAAAAATTATTCATTTCGGATAATTATTCAATATTTAATTTATTTCCTATTCACTTAAAACTACTAGAGAGTTTACTTCTCTATGAAGATAGTGTGGTACATAAAAAAATCTTCTTACGAGTTATCGTTATTATATTTAATAACTGCACACCTGGATTAATGAGCGGAGTCATCAGCATTGCATTTGATTTCATCACTTTTGTCTCACTTCATTCTTATATATTATGTCTTAGCATGCTTGCCGTGAGTCAAATAGAGAGTTATAGATCTACTAGTTCAGAAATGAACGTGGTTCTTATTCCCACTATGTTCTTGGGTTCTTGGAGTTTCGTAGCAATTTTGAAAAGTGATACGAGAACATGCAATGGGCCCACAATCCAATTATGGGTTCTGCTGCATTTCCTACTTTTTTTCTTGATTTAAAATATATCCCTCTAGCGCTGGATGCACTATTTATTGTCTATATTTCTCTGTTTATATAGTTGTGTTTGGCTTATATATTCCTGATTCTGCTCTTATAAGACAAGGATTGCAAGTCCTGAGTTCTGTGTTCTGGTGAGCTCTATGGAAAATCACAGAAGTGGCACACACTCGGGGAGAGAATCCGTGGCCGACTTGTGTACACAGAGTGTGCCACTGCCATAAGCTGTGAAGCCTCAAGCATCGTTTACTTTTAAATCACTTAACCACAGGTTTGGCAGTATCCGTATTCATGGTGTTCTTAGGGTTGACAGATAATTCGCCGGACGTGGTTACCTTAAGAAGACGCCAGGATACCAACATACAATTATAGGTATTGATAACAAGGCATGACCCGCCTAGGGTTGGGCTCCTTCACTCATGTGTGAGCGCTTGATGATCTTAGATTTGAATGGGAGACGACACAGGTGTTGTTTTATGGACTACCACTAGTTGCTATAAAAGAGTAAGTTAAAAGAGAGAGCGAGATATAATGGACTATATCTGAGAAGGGCTGGTCCAAGTGAAAGGTCATTAGTATACATCGTGAGGTCGAATTCTTCTTTGAGTAACGTTGTTAAATTTTGCCTTTCTGGATGGATGTTCACTCCAGAATATGGGATGATCGGCTCCCCAGTAATCAGCTCATATGTGTATATATATGCTATTGTGGGAGAACTGGCTCAGGTTGGGTTCGTGACCCTCCAACTTGACCTAATTTTCCACGTGATGTGCATTATATTTTCTTGAAGATGTAAGAATGATTTGTGACGTGCTGGTTCGACAATAAGTCCTAATTAGTGTGTAACATGAGGCCACTCCTCGTCGTGAGTCTACTACCTGAAATATTGACTCTTTAGCATGCAGGCTCATCAAACGTGGTGAATGACTAGAAGTCAATAGAGAATCTTTACACACACATATGTGTGAATTGTGTGTGTTGTGCAATAATTAGCTGTACCTAGTTCCTTAGAAAGCTCACATTACTTGTTTCAAATTTTTCCAGGTCACAGGCTCAGTAGTCAGCTGCTTCTTTATAATTTATTCTGGGTTCAGGTCTTTATGTTTTTGCGCCAGCTGAGAGCTCTCGTGTGGATACTAAAAATTAATTGTTTTCCTACCTATATGACTGGCAATTCCCCATAATTAATAGTTATATATATGTATGTTAAATTCTAGATATAACAAAAATCTACTGTATCAAAAGTTATTCAATTCGTATAGCTGTTAGTGATTTCCGTCAGTTGTATCAGTGTTTGGATATATTTCTCGCGTTACAAGTTAAGTCGTGTATTGAGACAATAGAACGATAGTATTGTGGTAAAACTATATTGTGCGCCTGATTAGTAAAAGATGTTGATTGTCGTACAGCATCCATTTTAGATTGGTGGATCCCTCCTGGAAACCCGTGGGAATTGTCTGTAGATCATGATTATAAAATTTTGTGCCTGTACGATAATTAGGAAAATATATATTTGTGAGTTATTAATCTTGTCTATTCTTTATAATGTCTTGAAAATTTAATGATTGAAGATAAGTCATCATATTGTTTCAAGGAGTAATTTCACCAGAAACTGTCTCTTACTACGTTGGCATCTGCGGCCTTAGAGAGCTACTAGAGGCCTTTAAGTCCTTACTCTGGGCACAACCCTAGCTCTGCCCTAATTTGCCAATATCATTTGTCCTAATTGCAAGGCATTCGTTTGTCCTGCTGGCTGCCGCATTGCCTGAAACCACATTGGGCTCTTTTCCGTCCTTGACCATGAACAGAGTGATTAAGACTTCATTCTCTCTTAATTATCAGTTTTTAAGTTCCAAACATGAAATATAAAAATTGTAAAAAATTTATATGTGATATTTTAATTTCTCACCGTAACTTTTCTCATAATATTTTTATTATTTTAACCACTCACACTACGACCAAAAGAGTACATAATTAATTCCGTCCATAATTATTGCGGAACAAATAAAAGTTGTTACACAATATTATCCTGGAGACTATTTTTTTGAATGTTTGAAATTTATATTGAAATAATAAATTTTAGTGATTCAGGCTTACTACGGGCCTCGGGAGCCTTAAGCTTACCTGGGCTCTAGTACCGGTCCGGCCCGCGGAAACGGGTCGTGACATGAACAGAGTGATTAAGACTCATTCTCTCTTAATTATAGTTTTTAAGTTCCAACATGAAATATAAAAATTGTAAAAATTTATATTTGGATATTTATTTTCTCCCGTACTTTTCTCATAATATTTTATTATTTAACCATCTATTGATAAAATATAATTTTATTTATAATTATTGGAAATATATTTTAAATTAATAAATTTTTAGTGAAGCCAATCACGGAAATTTAAAATGTTGTCTTTTAATAAAAATATAAATTATAAAAAATAGTATTTTTGTGCTTTTCTTTTTTATTTTAAATTCAAGTTAAATTCAAATTATAAAAATAAACTTCTCAACAAGTTAAAAACTACATGTATATCTGTCTTTTTTATTCTAAACAATGAACATATATGCGCTCAGTTTCAATAAATATTTTTTTAAGGTAAAATATACTATGCATTAACTTTTATAGGAGTATTTAATAATTATTATCTCTCATTTATTTTATTAGAACCCGCTCTTTTAAATTATAAAATTAGTGTAAATGTTTGGCTATAGAACATTATAAATAATAGAGATAGTTAAAATATTAAAATTATGTTAAAAATTGTTGCTGAATTTATTATCTAAACTTTGCACAAAATATTTATAGGGCCAAATTTTATTAAAATTTAAAATAAAATAGTAATTTTAAATATTTGACTAATTTAATTTATTAGTCAAAAACATTGAATATGTTTTAGACATTTTTTTAAAATTAAACAGTTTTTTAATTTAAAAATGCTATTTTTTAATATTTTAATTAATCTTTTTAAATATTTAACATTTTCAATTAATAAAATTTACTAATCAAAAATATTAAAAATTTGTTTTCCGTAAAAACGCATTTGGTGCAAAGCAAGATTGGTAATTTTATAAAAAGTTTACTTTTGAGCAACAGTAAATTTTCCCCAACCAAGTTCAGTAGCAAATTTGACATTTTTTTATGAATCATAGAACTTTTTTTCATCGTTAGACTTAATTCTCAACAACCTCCTTCACCTGCCATCACCAATGTCAGCAAACAGTTAGATACCAACTTCGAAGTAGTCGCACTTTTTTTTGTAAAAAAAAAACATCCCTGCAATTAGTATCAGCGTTCGTCGCCATGGGAAACACATCTTCAATGCTCACTCAATATGACATCGAAGAAGTCCAAGAACACTGCAACCACACCTGTAACCAATCAATTACTTCACATTTCAATTCGGAGGTTTGTTAACCGTTTGATTTTTTTCTCTTTAGATCTAATTTTCTGCATTTTTCCTTTTTTTTTTTTTTTTTTTTTTTTCTCGATCATTTCCTTTTTTTTTTTTTTTTTTTTTTTTAACTAAAAAAATAAATAGCTTCGCAAGCAAGAGAATAGTGGGCACTTTGTACGAAAGGTTCGTCGAGCTGGATCGAAATGGCGCGGATTGCTCCGCGGAAGAGTTCCTTTTCAGTGGCTGAGTTGCCGTCAATCCCACTTTCTCAGGTCCTTTTTGCTCTGCTAAATATATTTTCTTAAGATTTTTTTTTTTCAGTTTTGCTCACTTTTTGATTTTTTTTTTTTTTTTTGGGAAGTAGGAGTGTTAAGGATGATAGATGATTGAATTTATAAGGAATTTGGGTGGCGTTTTTGTCTGCATTTTCAGGCTCCTCGAGCTCTTGTCAGCAGAACCAATTGAGTGTAATCAATCTCGTTGTTTTGTTCTTTCTCACCATTGTTCGTCTTTGAATTTTGTTAAGGTTATTTATTAACACTATCTTGAATTGTTTCTCTTTTTGATTTTTTTTTTTTTTTTTTTGGGAAGTAGAGAGTGTTAAGGATGATAGATGGATTGAATTTTAAGGAATTTGTGGCGTTTTTGTCTGCATTTAGTCCTCGAGCTTCTTGTCAGCAGAAAATTGAGTGTAATATCTGTTTTTTTCTTCTCAATTGTTCGTTGAATTTTTGTTAAGGTTATTTATTAACTATATCTTTGAATTGTTTTGTGTTTCTGTGTTTTTAAATTGTGTAGTTATTTTCAAGGTATATGATTCTGATGGCAATTGGAAAGTTACATTCAATGACATGTTGGATGTGTTGCATGATTTGACTGGACAATTCATATCGGAACAGCAGAGGGAGGTTAGTTTTTTTCTTAACATTATATTTTTGTTGTTAACTTTTGTTTTCTGCAAATTTGTTTTCCTTTTCATCAACTTTTGATGTAAAAGTTGTAGTGTAAAGGAGGGGAAAGAGGTTGCATACTTGTCTTGATTCATTTTGCCAATGAAAAGAAGGGAAAAGTATGAAATATAAGGAGGGGTAGCGGGGGAGCTTTATTTTTTGAAGTAAATTTATTTGAAATGCAGTTGATTGAAAACTTTTCTTATTTCAAATACTGCAAAAAAAAATCATTGATTTAATATCTTAACATCTAAGGTAGGTCTAGCAGGGTCTATATAAGGCATTTGGGAAGAAGTTTTTCAAAGATTATTTGTCTAATAATGTAATTTTCTTAGTGAATCGATTTCTTATATCAATGCTTTTGTTGTGTTAAATTTCCTGTGTAGGGATAGTTATTGATTATTCAAAATTACTAAACGATTGATAATGTTTTTGGATTAGATTTCAGTACTGGTGTGCAAGTTATGGGTTTTATCAAGAATTCAGGTTTCCTCTGATGTTGGTGTATAGGATAAAGTTTTTCTTTTTGGTGATAAGAAATGAAAATTTATTGAGAATAATAATAATAATAATAAAGTTTGCCTTGGAGAATGAGGAATCATCCTTTATAATTCAATAGGCAACTATAAACAAGAACATGAAAAACAAGCTAAGGAAATTGATACTCTCCAATCAAGTTGGATAACATTCGAAAGAGACTCTGATGAAAGCTTTTGAAGCACAAGCCTATTTAGAAGCCAAGAACCTACTTTGTCAACTAAACGACATATTTGGTTTTTGTGAACACACATTCATTTTCTCCATCCAAAGACTCCACAACACTGCAAAGAAAAAAAGCATAATTCCAAAAAGACCATATAGAATAAGCTTTATCTATGCTTCACCACTGTTGACAGAAGTGTAATTTGGGGTGGGGGAAGTAATATGTTGATGTTCTTCAGAAGCTAATCAATTTGTTTTCATCTACAATATGAAATTGGGACCTATTCAACAAGTTTTATTTGACTTTGTATCATCCTTTTGATGATTATTGTCAAAATCATTTAACAAAAATGGTTAGCACCATAAAGGTAGCAGTTGTATCTAACACATTGCTGACCAATTAATATCGACGTGAGTGTGAAGTGCTTTATGATGGACATGTTTATGTTTAATGCAGCAAGTGCTGATCCATGTCCTTGAGGAAGCAGGCTACACAAAGGATTCTTTGTTAGTTTTATCAGACTTTATAAAGGTACCATTTTGGTTCTACTTGCTGTATATGGTTACTGCATCATTGAACATTTTCATTATTTAGGATTACAATGGATTAACATGATTTTCTGATTATGGAATTGTAATATATTTCTACATCCTGATTTGCATATTTCTTTGCTTTGGTTAATTTTATTCATTATGTTTAAGCATAGTTTGGTCCGTTTGGGATTCTTTTTTCTAGGAACTGTAAAGAAGTCCAAAATCATATGATGACTACACGTTTTAACACCACTTCTACGAGTTTGACAGCCTCCCTATTAGTCTCACCTGGAAACAGCATCCTTTTTCCTCTTGTCATCTTACAAAGTTTAGCCTCATAAAAGAGAAGTGGTGAAAGTGTTTTTGTACGTACTTTTTGATGGATCAAATATTTTTAATGAGGAACATCATGTTTTCCAAGAGGGTAATGGTTCAGTTGTTTGTTGGAAAGTCAAATCTCGCATTGGTTAAATATAAGTACGGGATTAATATGATTTATGGGGCTTCTCCACCTTCTGTCTTGGGCTTTTGGGTTTTTAAAACTTCTAGTGATGGAATATTAACCACCTCTGTCGACTTTTGGCAGTGGAAGCCTGGTGAATTTCGTACAATTAAGTTGCATTGGGAAAACGAAGTCTTCAATAATTATCTTGAATGTTGGTGTGAAATTATCTTCAAAGTCTTGATAAAATCTAATCAGTGTCATTTTCAGCAGTGTCCATTTCTTAAAGGTGCCTTGGCATTGAAATAGGGTAAAAGGAAAGCAGTCCTAGTACATAAAATAGGATAGATGTTCCTTATGGACCTTACCAACTAATAGGATCTGATTCAAGTCATAAAGTAGGTGGCCTTCTGTTTTCTTGCCTTAGGTGGAAGTCTGAGGGAGGATATTGGAAATGCGTTTGGTTCTATCTGGTGAGAGTTAAAAATCTCTTATCATAAGCAATCCCTTGATCGGTGCATCCATATCCTCTTAGAATTTTGCGTCCTTATCACAGTCACTTAGAATTTGTTCTCTTGGTTTCCACATTGGAAAATGCTTAAATAGTTTTTGATGCGGTGCTAACATGAATTGCTCTAATGGTTATACCAAGGGTAGGATTTTATACTTTCTTGTCTAAGGTGGATTAAGATTAGTGATAAGTTGAAAATACTTAGTGATAACATGGAAGATCCAAGTGGTGATAAGTTGAATGTGTTCAGACTTCAGGGACAGTAACTCGGGGGTATAGCTTGTGGTTCTAAGGCTTGTGTAATACCTCATCTATTGTGGGGACACGATCCTGAAAACTGTTTTCGGTCTTTACAGCAAAATGCTGAATGAGGAAACTAAATTTTGGTTGCATCAAGGAACATGGCTGGTAGAGTTTATAATCTTAGTGTTGCCCATTGGTTCAAAATCAGTAATTTCTTTTGGCAAATGCTAGATTTATTTTTGAAAAATGGTTATCTTAATTTCCAGAAGTAAAGTGGAGGAAAGAGGCTTGATGCTGAGCAAAGGCTAATGTGGAGAAATCTTGGCCAGGTCTTGTTTCACTCTTGCTTCTGTGCGGAGAAAAAGTTTTCTTGTCCGAAGAGTTTCAGTTCTATGCTTGGCTTTGGCGCCTGTAACTCTCACTTAGAGATGACTAACATCTGGGGAGGCTAAGTTTGTGTCTATGGTTATCAGTTAATCCTCCATCTCACTATAAAATATTCTGAATTCTGTCAATCACAAAATGTATACTCTGTGCATTTCCTAGTTTCAGTTATTCGTACTTTTAGCTGTTATAAGTACCAAGTCCCTAAGCTTCTCTAAATTTCAGTTGCCCATCTGTCAAGATGCCATAGTGCCATCCATTTATTTATTTAATTTTTAGGTACATCATAAATTATTTATTTGGTGCTTGGATTTTTCATTCTATCAAATAGAAGTTTTAAGTCTAAATACGATGAATATGGACACAGTTGTCCTTTTTTTCATCTGTCCTCACGACTCGGTTAATTCACACTGTAACTCTCTCTCTCTCTCTCTCTCTCTCTCTCTCTCTCACTTGCACGCCCCTGTTCTCCAATGCAGATCACCACGTGCATCAGACTGAACTCCTATTATTTTTTTCAAATGCCCTTTCAACTTCTGCAATCTCCATTTGCTTTACTTTATAAAATCCTAGCTTCTTAAATTGGTTGACATTGTCTATGTAACATGTCTTTATGTTCTACTGTTTGCTTAAATACACTTCTTTTATATTGCATCCAGATTCTTGGAAATTCTGATTTGAAAATGGAAGTTGAGGTTCCTGTGGACTAAAACAAGGTAATATTAGGCGAGACTGTAGATGGCATCGTCTGAATTCTATTCCCATTGAAATGTGGTCTTTCCAATCTACTTCCCTTTAAATCAGTGCCAATTGTTTCTACAAGGTATCTGATTTTGAACATATAAAGCATCTCCCATTTCATTTTATTTTGTTTCCCTCAGCTCGTGATGACAACTTTGTAACGTTATGTGTGAATTTTACATTATGGATATGTGCCCATTACTTCCAAACTGCTAAAATCTCATTCATATCTTCTCTAATTCTCTCTTAGTGCAGCCAACAGGATCTTGTTTCAGAGGCTTGCTAATACATTGGTAGTCCTTGCTTTGTCATTTTCTAATCCTTCTAACAACCCATTTGATTGCTTCAAGCAACTCCCTCTCTCTCCCTCTCTCAAATTTAAGTGCTTGTTTTTAACACAGTTATTAAACCTGGCTCGTCCCGGCAGGTCAACCCGGAGAACTGGTAAAACCGGCCCCAAAATCGGCCGGATTTGATTTTGCACCACTTAAGGAAGAGAACCGAATTGAACCGGCTAACCCATGGTTGAACCGGTCGGCCCGTATAGATCCGATGATCTGGCCTGGCTTTTTGATATTTTAATTTTTTATTATATTATAATTATTTTTAATTATAATTATTTAATTAATATATATTATTAATGTTTTACAATCCATCCAGCTATGTTTTTAGTCGGGTCAATGTCCTAGCCGGGTTTAGTAGCACCAACACTGGTTTAGAATGATAAATCCATGTAATTTTACACTTCGTATTTAGTTGGAAAACATACTCCATGGATTTGAAGGATATTTTTATAATGAAATTAGGTGATTAAAATTTCATCATTTAATAAAAATGATGAAATTGAGAAAATTCCACATAAATTGGTATTTCTCTCTTTTTTAAAAATATAGAATTGACCATGATAAAGTTTATTAATTCCATGGATTTTAGATTATTTTGTTACTAAAATTTAATAGTGGTATAATAGATAATTTAAGGATTAACTATAATAAAAAAATGAAAGTGGATTATATTTTGGGACAAATCAAAAAGGAAAGATAGACTATCTTTTTGGAAAAATGCAGTATCTTTTATCAACCAAACAAAATAATCTAATAAATCTATAAAATAATTATATTCCATTACTCAATTTTTTTTTTTTTTTTCCTTTGGTATATATAGTAAATTCTTAAAAAGAAAAGGGACTACCAATTCTTTATTATCGATTAGATGTTGGTTTCTATTATTGATGAGGGATTAAATGTTAGTACACGATAACTAGCTGTATTCCCGACTGAAACATACTTATCTCGATAACAAGAAAAATGGCATTTTTTCCGATTTAGATGGAGAGAGATGGAACAAATTGGTTTTTATTTACATAAGAAAATACTTGCCTCTCTTTTTTTTTTTTTCTTTTTTTTTCTGTTCTTGAATTCACAGTTAATTGCTATATAAAAAAAATTGTAATTTGTTATTGTTATTATTATTATTATTATTATTATTATTATTATTTTATTCATTTTTCTTAAATTGATACCGTTATTTGCATCGAGCATTAGATTGACAGTAAACAAGTGACAAATATTTCCTTTTAAATAAATAAATATAAAGGACATTTTTTTTTTAAGTTGAGAAATAAAAACCAAAAACAGTAAACAATAACTACTGTCTTAGGTATGTTGTCTATTACTCCTCTGAAAGGAAGGCTTGTTTTTATTTTCACACCGATTAATAAAGAGTAATTATTATTATTATTATTTGAACAATAAATTATTTCTAAAATTTTTAATATTATATTTTTATATTAATATTAAATGTCATTTCTAATAAAGAATTACATGGAGAATGATTAAACATATTAAATAGAGGTAAATTAACTGTATTTTAAAAAATGAAAGTGTCGCATAATTTGGAACAATCATAAAAGAACGATAAAGTTTATTTTTGTGGATTCAATCGTCAAAGCAAACAAAAATTCTGCTCGCTATATCATATGGACACGTGTTTATGCTGGTACTGGTGACACGGTGACACGTGGACAATCAAGTCTTGTAATTGTAACCGTTGGAAACGCTATTAACAACGTTTTAAATTTGACGGATCCTTGAATAACGCTTTTATGTCTTGATGATTGAACAAACGAAAGCAAAAGATAAACGAGGACCCACGACACAGCATAATCATCATTATCTATCTATTAAGTATTAATCTCGAAATTTTTAAAATAAATTTTAATTATACAGATCAACTTGGCAACAAGGTTACTACATTTAGATCAGTTACAGACAATGATAATAAATTTTGGTTAGCTAATTAAGCATATTAGCCGTTTTAATTATCTAAATATGGTTTTATAATCTGTCATCTTCTCTCCTTTACAAATTTCAGATTTACTTACAGGGAAAGGAAAAGATAATCTTTTGATTATTTAGATTTATTTCAAATCTTGAATGGAAAAGCCAAAACAGAACCGTTATGGTTTGCTTTATTTTTGCTTTTGTATGGAAAGATAATCTGCAAATGATGGTGAGTTATAACTTTTGGATACTTGTAATGGGTTCTTTTATTTATACCTGAAATCTGTAATAAATATCTTTTATTTTTTGTTCTTCAATTTCAAATCTGAATCGTTCTTTAAGGATTTTACTTCAAATCCGATTGTTTCTTTGTTTTTCCAGTGTAAAATCCGGGTTTCTTGAAGAGGATTCAGTCTATTCTTCTCTTTTCAGATTTTGTCCCTATTCGGTGGCTTTTGCAAACTAGCAGGTATTAAATCTTTCAATTTTCTTCTCGTCCTGGTTCTTCTTTTTGTTGCTGCTGTTATTGTTAGGAAATTCTCATTCTATTGCATGAGATGAGACTCCCTGCTTTGCAATTGTCAAGGGAGAAGGATATCAAGAAACCCTTCCCCTGGCACCTTAAAAAACACACGGACCTTTTGATATTATAAATTTCTTGAGGGATTGAATCTTGCCAAGAGTTCTTAGAAGGGGTCAACATAGGTGAAAGCTATATCTTACATAGACATAGTTCATGGTGCACCATTTCCCATAGGGCAGGTACCTATATCATGCGAGAATGGTCCATATAGACTTGGTCTAGGCATGGATTTTCCCAAGATTTGGCAGGGATATAAATAGGTGGTCGATACTTCGATTTCTTGTGCATTTTTAAATTATTTTCTTGAAAACACATAATGTAGGAACTAAATGAATAATAAGAAATGTTAATAGGGATGTCAAGACTGATACGGAATTGCTATTTTTCTGTGTACAGAAAGAAGTCTTATCGGTTCCTTCAGATTTAAGCGAATTCTGCCATGGCAGAAGGTGCTTCATCGGTTATGCTTGAAACTGATGTTACTGCTTTAGAAGAAGCACTTTATGCACAACAGAAACTTTTGCAAAAACTTAATGTAGAAGTCGAAGAGGAAAGAGAATCTTCAGCCACTGCAGCTAGTGAAGCTTTATCCATGATTATACGTTTGCAAGGCGAAAAGGCATCGCTAAAGATGGAAGCAAGTCAATATAAGAGGATGGCAGAAGAAAAAATATGTCATGCAGAAGAAGCTTTAGCGATCTTCGAAGATCTAATATATCAAAGAGAAATGGAAGTTGCTTCTCTTGAATATCAAGTTCAAGCATACAGGTATAGACTAATAAGCATGGGATGTGATGATATAAGCATTCATGAAAATAAATTTCCGGAGAATCTACTAGGTCAAAGAAGTGAGTTTTTATTTGGTGATAAGGCTGTTAATAGCAATTCATGGAGACTCAATTCTTTGCCTCAGGCTCTTATCAAAGATCCCAATCATAAGAAAAGTGTTCTTGACAGAATAAGAGCATCGCATCCTGGATTAGAATCATTATGGAGTCCTATGGATGACATATTGATTCAAGAGGTTGATGAGTCAGAAAAGAGACTGGGAAGTTTCGCGGCTAAAGAGAGTCTAGACCTTAGTACATATTGGGAGCATATAAGAAAATGGGATGAGAGAGTAAAAGAGACTACTGGCAGTAAAGACTCAGGAAGAAACAGAACAACAACTACACTCTTGAAAGGTGGGAGTTGGTCTCCATCAGAATTTTCGCAAGTGAATGCTTATATTGATTCCATAACAGAAGTAAATGTTACTACATCAGATCAAGTTAAAAATGCAGAAAGTTTACAAGAAAGACAAGACATTATTGATTCTCCTTGCTCTTCCAGTGTCCATGATGTGTTTGAAGTTCCAGAAAGTAAGGAGACTCGTAGCGCTTTTGAATCTTGGAAAAAGACACATTGTAAATTGACTTTGGAACCCGAAGTCAGGTTAGGGAAGCTGGAACTAGCTGCTGAGGATGCTCTCAAATCGCCTAGTACGATTGAAGCAGAGAAGGTTAAGGCAATGTTAATATCTGCTTCTCAGGACAGGAAATTAAATAAAACAAGAAATGCAGCAAACCTTGCTCGTTGTATTTCGCCTGTTCTTCCTGCAGCCAATTCTCCTATTGAATATCAGCAGCTGAATTGGAGAGTAGAAAGGCTCGAGAGAGCGAGAAATAATACGAAGCAAGAAATTAGTGGAGAAGGAGGAGGAGAAGAGGTGTTGAGTATATTGAAGGAGCTTCGCGAAAGACTTAACTCTATAGATTCTGAAATGAAAAGCTGGAAAGCTACGAAATCATATTTTCCTGATGAACCATCTTTAGATCCTCTTCAAGAGGTATACCCTCTCTCTCTTTTAGACACAAAAATATATAATATCATTCTTATGAAATGCAATTTTGAAATTTTAACATGAGCTGTGTTTCTATTTGCAGGCCATGTTGTACTTCTGGATTTAACCAAATCATATAATTGCAGAGGACTGTTGTTTAACATTCTTGTAATTTATTATACAAACTTAGCTGGATTTGATTTTTTTTTTCTTTTTTTGGTTGGAATAGTATGAAAATTGAGAGGAAAATACTTTTGGATTAGATTTGATTTTCCATTTGAATGGATTTTTTGTTATAGAAATTTCATATTGTACATTAGCCATAGAACAAGTCTTTTTTTTTATTTTTTTTATTTTTTATTTTTATGTATTCTTTCCAGCGAGCTTATGATATATGTCTGTTAGTTCTCATTAAATATGGATTGTTAGAAATTAAAACTGAATTTGGTGGTAATGATATATGTTTTAATACCAAAGTAGCTCCAATTCTTGTTATATAACTATTTATTCAAAATTATACATGATTCTGATAAATATTATAAGTATTAATTATAAGAAAATATATGAAAAATGATAAACTTTAGTTTTTTATTTAATAAATAAAAAAAAGAAAATAAATTTGTGATAAGTACCCTTATTGTTAGATTTTCCATTATTTCTTGCCAAAGTGAAAATATATTTGTGAAATATAGTTTTCCCTTTGCTTCATAAAGATATCAAATAATTGTTATTTCCTTCTAATAATTTGCTTCTCAAATGAAATTAATCCAAAAAGAAAAAAAAAAGAACAATTTTCTTTTCTTATAATTTCTAATAGTGAGTTAAATTAATTGATTATTTGAAGATTCCACATAAAAATCCTAAAAAAAAAAAAAAAAGAGGAAATTGTTATTTCCTTCTTAAATAATTTGCTTCTCAAATTGAAATTAAATCCAAAAAGAAAAAAAAAAAGAACAATATTTTGTGACTTTTCTTATAATGTCTAATTAGTAGAGTTTAAATTAATGTATTATTTGAAGATTCCACATAAAACTCTCCTCTAAAAAAAAAAAAAAAAGAGGAAAACAAATTATAATAATAATAATTTGTGAAAAGAAATTTGTAGTAGTTCCCTTTTTCTAACGTGTCTAAATCTAATGCCATAATCCTTATACAGTGGCTTGAAATCTTGAATCCAAACATCTGTCAAAGCTCAAAATAATTCAAGTTGAGTTCAAATAATTATCTTTTTCTGTCTTTTATAGTAACTAGTATTTTGTACGACGTGCGTTGCATATTGACTATGTTCGTTATATACTCATTTTTTTTTATTCAATAAGAGATTTGATAAGCTGAAATAATACTGCAGACTATATAACAATCATATCAGTAACTCACCTAATAAAAAAAAACATTTCAATTATATAGATATATAAATATATCAATAAAATATATTTTTTTTTAATTTTCAACTGTTTACCATCACAGATTTAATTATGTAAATTCTATTTGAAAATTTACTTTTTAAAAAATATATCCAATCAAATCTTAATATAAAGAACAAAAATATTCATAAAAATAATATACTTTTTTCTTCTTTTTTATCTCTCTCCTAAATAACATATTATATATATATATATTTTTTTTTTCTTCTTTTTAAAAAAATCTAATCATATCATACAAACATAAAGAAAATATATATATTTTGCTTCTTTTTTTATATATTTCCTAAAAGAATTAATATTTAATAAATAAAATATAAAAAATTTACAAATATCTTATTATCATATATATTCATTAAAAAATAAATCATCTGTTTTAATATAGATTCTATTCAATGGATCTATTACCAAACTCATTATTAAGAAAATATATAATATTGGTGTCTCTTTTTTTATGATAATTTCCTAAAGATGAATTATGGATGGTAATCAATATAAAATGATAGGGGAAAAATATTAGCAAATATGCTTATATCATATATATTTTTCAGTGGGTTTAAAAATAAATTTTAAATAAAGGATAAACTTTAATTGTTGAAAATGTTATTAAGGCTTTTTATATTATTATTTTAAAATAATTTTTTATTTTTATGAGGCTCATCGGCTCGGAAGATAAATGATTTACGCGCTATACAATATATTCGTGATAGGTATACACTTTGTGGTTAGAGGGACTCGAAGCTCGTGTAGACCTCGTCACTCAGCTTACGTTAAATGGCTGAGAAGACATATCAAGCACTACTCTGTGTTAGCATAAGTGACGTTTAGAAATATAATTTTATATAATTAAGTATTCCCAATCAATTTCTATATAAACTGTAATTTTGTCTTAATTTTTGGTGTTATCATTAATCGGTATTTATTTTTTTAGAATACTTTTAAATTCAATTAAAATGTCTATAGTGAAAAATCTCATATTATTCTTCTATAATCCTACATTTATATATTAGTATAATATAGGAGACTATGTCCTTTTCGCAAGACATTCATTTGCACACTTTTTAGGTGTGATTGACAATGGCTTCGTTTTTAATATTTTTTTCATTTTTATACATCTTTTCTAATTTTTTTTATTCTATCACTAGATATTTAAAGTATAAGTTTTGTTCTATAATTAAAATAAATACTATTTTTTTATTTGGTTAATTTCAATTAAACTTTTATCAGTATAAACTACTTGAATGTGTTTTTTTATATATTCTTGAATTTTTGCTTATTTTTTTATATATTTAAATGAAATGTTTCGCATAATAAATTTCTAATTCCAACTCTATACTTAAATCTCTTTCAGTCTCTAACTTGTATAAACAAAAGTATTCTTAAATATCCTGATATGGTGCTTCAAAATAAAAATTATCCATATTGTTAAACTCAAATTTCCTAAACGCTTTTGGCCCCTTTAATCTTAATAAATTCTAATATTCTATTATACAAGTTTTTTTTATGATAAAATAATCAATATCTATATACAGTTATAATGAAAAATAATAATAATTTTTTTTACTGGTAGGTAAAAGAAAAGAAATGAGAAGATGATTTAAATTAATAATGGTATTTATTTTAGCTATAGTGATAGAATTATTTACCCAGTGCATTAGAGAAATGAATATATGAACATACATACAAACTCTTGAAATCCAAAAAATATCCAATACAGAAATATATAGTTCTATTTTTTTTTTAATTTCATAAACATTATTTTCTTTCAAATCAAATATATTTAGGATATTAAAGAAAAAATATCAAAAAAATAAAAAATGCTTAATCAAGAGTCCATCTATTTAACGCAAATGAGATATAAATCTCTTACTAAATTAAAGTGATAGCGGTTGTAAATTAATTCAATAACGAAAAAAAAATAAAAAAATAATAAATTTTTATTAAAAAAAAAACTCTTTTAAGAACTCAACTGCTAAGAAGAAATAAATTATATTAAAAAATTACCGATTTGAATTTCAAAAAAACCCCTGAAAATGTTATAATTTAATTAAATTTAATTTTGATGGACAAAAAAAAAAGCCAAGTCAATAAACGAAAATTACAAAGCAAATCATGCTATGAATCAATATTGATCGGTGAATGAGTTTATTTAAGTATTTTGTTTCTCTATTGTTCTAAGTTGCAAATTTAAATAAATAAATAAGTTAATTAAGTAAGAAAAAAAAGATTATATAAAAGAAATGTTATATCCTCTCCAAATAATATCCTCTCCAAATAAACTCATAACTTTTCCTACAACCATAAAAAAAAAGAGTATACTTTTTTTATTATATATATTTATTTATCTAAAAAACAATTTTTAGAAATAATATCCAATCAAATAATAAATGTATTTTTTTTTTTTTTGTCTTAACCACAAGTACACCGAGTCCACTGGGCTAGAGAACTAAATCCTGCTTGTACCAAGTTAGTCCAAGAAAAGATAAAGTGCTCTCAGCAAGTATTTGCTCCATTCGTGAGGATCGAACCCTCTACCCCACCTAAAGGAGAAAAGTGTTAACCACTCATCCAAACACTCGTTGGTATAAAATGTAATTTTCGAATTGGTTACGACTAAGGTTATTTTAGGATATTCTAAATTTTATTAAAGGCGATATAGAAAATTCCATTATTCCCCCTATTCCCACATTTATATATAGTATAAACATTATATATAAGGCCGGATAACCTATTTGAAAATTCCATTATTCCCACACTATTCCCGACATTTAATATATTACGTATAACATTATATTATAATATGTATATATATTATAATAATATATATATATTAATATCATTATGATTAATCAAGAAAATTTGTTAGTGAGATATTTGCATATAACGTGTAATGATATATAAATTAAACATATGATAACAAGAAATTTGTAGTGATATTTGCATATAACTGAAATGAATTCCAAAGTCCCAAAAACACGAGAAACTAGCATATCCCACATCGGGAACAGTCTTGTGTTTTTACACTTTATAATCGTAGTGCAAACATCGTTGCACCGTCGGACTGGGTAACGCTGGCCTGTGACCTAAGTGGGGACACGAAAAGCATGGAACATGGCTTCTGCCCATCTCGTCGATCTCCACTTGGCTATTTCCTGGCTCGCCCGTTCCAAGCCGAGAGTAGAGTCAATTGACCCGGGCGAAGGCTTGGTTCGCTTGACTCCTAAAGTGGAGGGTACCGCGTTAGGCTGGCTTCACAGAGCAGCGATCACCTCCCTCTCCTGGCAGTGGAAGGATAACGGGTCGGTGCCTGTAGAGTTCAAATGGCTTGATGGGCTGCGCTAACTGGACCATGCCTTTTTTTATTAATTGTTTTTCCCTATAAAAATCAATCTCCTTAATCTTTGTGTTTTTATTTTAAATTATGTCTTCAAAACTCAATGAATGATTTTTTTTTTCTCTCCTGGCAATGGATGGAATTTTATCATATAATTGAAAAGTTTATAGAATTTTATCCTAAGTCTCTTCATCCCAATTCTTCCTTGATATTATATTGAAACTTCATGCATATAATCATATATATACACAAGAATTATTATATTTTTATATACATAACATATTTTACAATTAACAATTAGGGAAACAAAAAAATTTTATTATTAACAATTAAAAACTATTTTTAATTTTAAAATTAAGCATGTTAGAGCTACTTAAATTAAAAATTTCCATCAATCAAAACGATAATATATCTATTGGTTTGAGTTACAGGTAGCTGTAATTGGTATGTTGGTAGCATTTACGGAGGAAGAAGAATCATCTGTTCACTTAGGTCCTGCTGTAAAGAAAGTTTGACTTTTTTTTTTTTAATATTGGAAAATGAGATTCCAACTTGAATTTATTGCCGAGATATATGTATTTATTATTAAACTATGCTTTGGCGTGTCTCTCTTGAGTTGACTCAAAATGTCAAACACTGAATTAATTTATTAATTAATTATAAGACATGCTTGAATTTTTTTTCCAGGGACAATTTGACCTACTGCAGCAATTAAACATTGGACTAATTTCTCCTTAATTAATTATATTATAATACAAAGTGCTTAAAGGGATATTGATTCAAGTGCTATGTATCATCAATTGATGAAATGAAAATTGGGTGATTATCACCTACCACTTACCAGTTTTCTTTAAGCTATTCCCTATCAGAAAGGTAGGCTAAAAGGGACTTTTCCTTTTTTTTTTTTATACCACAAAATAATTAAATGCTGATATTTTAAGATAAAAATAGACTAATTGAGTACAAATATAGGCTGAAGGATCAATGTATGTTCATAGTTGAATTATGATTCATTGTTCACAATCTTGCACAAATCTATTAAAATATTAACAAACTGTGAGGGCTGGATTTGGTCGGTTGAGATTAAAAAATTTAATTAACAATAAAATATTTGAATGCTTCTGTGGCTAAAATAATGTATTTAATTATTATTTCGTGTCTCAAGATTTTCTTTGCTTTTTTTTTTTTTTTTTTTTTTTCTTCTGTGGCTAAAATGAATGTATTTTAATTATATATTTCGGTGTCTCAAGATTTTTCTTTGCTTTTTTTTTTTTTTTTTTTTTTTTTGAGATATAAGGGACAAAATTGTTAATTTTAAAGGATGGAAAATATGTCGAAAATAAAATGTTTTATTAAATTGAAATTAACTTACTATGAATCAAAAATCAATATGAAAATCAAATTGAATAAAATGATTAAAGATTGTTTAAAACCGAATTTTTTTTTTTTTTTTTTTTTTGAGATATAGGGACAAAATTGTAATTTAAAGATGGAAATATTGTCGAAATAAATGTTTTATTAAATTGAAATTAACTTTACTATGATCAAAATCAATGAAACAAATGAATAAAATGATAAAGATGTTAACAAAATGTCATGAAGCACCAAATTTATTAGGAGATGCTTCTTGAATGAGCAAAGATGGAGGGTTAGAAAGAAACTGCTTTAGCCTACCCATTTCATTGGCAACATCTAACATAGTTGGTCTAGTTGAAGGATTATATTGTGTACACATAAGACCAAGCTCAATCAACTCCACAATCACTTCACTCCATATTTTGTTACAATAACCAGAAATGGCTAATGGAGCAAACCTAACCATTGCTTCTTCCACAATCGGCTCCAGCTTTCGAGGGTAATGACTCTTTACCCATTCATGTAAGCTAGAACCTTCCTGGAAAAGAACATCTGTTGGACGCTTTCCGACTATAATTTCTAGCAAAAGAATTCCATAACTATATACATCTCCTTGTGTCGAAACTCGCCTCCCAATTCCATATTCTGCAATCAACACAAGTATAATATTCGTTAGCAGGAGCGGAGCTAGACTTTGAAATGTAATATTATTGAAAACATATATAATTTTTTAAAAAAATGTATCAATTATAAATTACCAGGAGCAATATAGCCAACTGATCCGCACAGCAAGCCATCAGTAGAGCTGAAGGACACTGAATCATTCGCATTAGACGTTGCGTTATTCTCATCAATGCCTTTAAGCAATCTTGCAATTCCGAAATCTGTTACTAGAGCTGTCATGTCATCATCGAGAAGAATATTGCTCGGCTTGAGGTCGCAATGCACTACTCTAACAGGAGAGTAATGGTGCAAATAGGCAATACCTTCAGCTACATCGCTACAAATGCTTACCAATTGGATCAAATTCAACTTAGCGCTCAATCCATGGCTTGGATATAGATACCTTTCTAGACTCCCATTTGACATTAAGGGAAGAACGAGTGCCTTAAAGTCTGGTTTGCTGCATATTGTAATAATCCTTATCAAATTTCTGTGTCTTGCCCTTTTTAGTACTTGACATTCTCTTTTAAAGCTTCCTGAGATTTCCTTAGCTGTTTTTGAATCCAATACTTTAACAGCTATTCTTGTATTGTCCTCAAGAACTCCCTTGTAGACATTACCGAACCGGCCTGAACCTACTAGGGCTGAAGCACTGAAACCTCCGGTAGCTTCAATGAGTTGTTGATAAGAGATTCGCCGATATTTAAGCTCTTTTGATTCTTTCTCTTCATCGTCTAAGTTGCCTTGATTGAATATTGCTAATTTCCTTTTGAATTTTGATCTAAATACTAAAAACAAACACAAAAAAGGAGTAGCAAATAAAGAAAGAAGGACAGGCAAAATAAAGGAATGAAAAGAATATTTTTTTCGACATTTTTTCATTCCTTTTATTGTTCCACAGATGCCTTTGTTTCCAAGAAAGGAGTCCATCGTCAATGAAGAAAATGCCCCATTTTTAGATACATTGCCAACGAACTTGTTGAATGAGAAGTTGAGATACTTGAGGGTTGGTGATGATTGTAAAGACTCTGGTATTTCTCCACCTAATTGGTTTAAAGAAACATCTAATTGCTTAAGATAGGGCAATCGCCCTATTGAAGAAGGTAGAGTACCTTCTAACGTATTGCTTGAAAGGTTAAGGTACTCTAATGCAATGCAACTTCCAAGTTGTGGAGGGATAGTACTTGAAAAATTATTTGAAGAAAGATCAATTGCAAGGACCATATCCATTTTACTTAATTCTAACGGTAATGGACCTTGTAAATGGTTGCTAGACAAATTCAAGTACAATTTCAAACTCCGGAGGGCTGCAACTTCATTAGGAATTGAACCAGAAATTTGATTATGAGAAAGGTCCAAAATCTCTAAATTTATACATTTGCCTAAACTTGGAGGTAGAGTTCCAGAAAGGTGATTCTCGTAGAGAAAAAGACGTCGCAATTGTGAAAGATTAGCAAAACTATCTGGAATTGATCCTGAAAGTTCGTTTTTGGATAAATCAAGAAGACCTAAGTGGGAAATGTTACCAAGAGCTGAAGGAATTTCACCAAAAAGTGAATTATTTGATAAATAAACTCTTTCTAGCTTACCTAAACGACATATTTCTCTAGGAATAGTACCATTCAAAAGGTTACTAGACAAATTTAAAAGGGTGAGGTTGACAAGATTTGAAATTTGAGGAGGTATAGCACCAAAAAGAAGGTTTTCATCTAAATGAATTTGTACAAGAGCAGAAAGATTACCAATAATAGGAGGTATCCTTCCACCAAGATTATTTCCTGCTAATTCAAGTTCTGTTAAATTAGAGGAATTAACCAAAGAAGTTAAAAAAGGTTCAAGATTGGTGTTATTATTATGACTGACAAAACTATTGTAGGACAAGTAAAGGAATTGTAATTGAGGCATTTTTTGAACAATTTGTGATGGTAATTCCCCACTTAACATATTAGATTCCAAATCAATCCACTTAAGCTTTGAAGAGTTGGAAAGAGCTAAAGGAACATGACCCACTAATTTATTTGACCAAAGTAAAAGAAATTTTAATTCCTTAAGCTCACATCCGTTCTTTAAGGGTATTTCACCACTTAAAGAATTATTAGAAAGGTCTATGTACTCTAAAGAAGAGGACCCGTTGCAGAAAATTGGTGAAGGAATTTCACCAACAAAGTTATTACTAGCCAAATCGAGATAAACCAACTGGGTAAGATAACCCAACTCGTAAGGAATCTTTCCTTGAAGAAGATTCCAAGACAAACTTAATTGTTGCAGTTGAGAAAGATTCCCCAACTCTGCCGGAACACTCCCCTCAAAGAAGTTCTTTGACAAATCAAGAATCTTCAAAGAAGAAAGATTAGCTAAAGATGGAGAAATTCTTCCTCTTAGTGAAAGATCACTAAGATCAAGTTGAAATATTTGATTACTCACATTGTCGCATTTGACTCTAGACCATTTGCATATATCAAGATTTGATGAGTTCCAGCTTTCAAGAACACCTTGAGGATCGGACACGACACCGGACTTGAAAGAAAGTAAAGAAACTCTTTCTTTAGCAAATGGGATTTGAACACTTTCTTTGACAGAAACCAAGAACAAGAAAATGATCGAGAAAAGAAGACTCAAAATGGAAAATTTAAAAGAACCCATTTTAGTTCTTGATCTTGTTTAGCTGAAAAAGATTAAAGAAAAATGGTTTCTAATGAAAGAAATGCACCAACCATGCATGCATACTTGTCAAGATGAACAGGTTTGACATGTTCATTGCATATATATAAGGAAACAGAAAATTAATTAATATACACTTATTGATGAGACAAAGATTTCAAGTTCTTTCTTTTCAAAGAAAAACAAAAAGATGTCAAGTTCTTTAGCGTTTGTGTCTGCCTAACCGCCGTCAAGGAGGATGTGAAACGTACGTTTGGCGCGCATGATGTTTGACTAACGACAAATACGGCAAATAGTTGACTTACATGTGTCCGCGTGCAGATGACACGTAAGCAAGGGTTATTACAATTAGAACCGTGTGGTTATGGTGGTGTACATGTCAGCACTAGGCCTAACACGTTAAATTCTTTCTTTATTTCTGATTTATCTTTGTTTTTAATATTTTCTAATTAATTTATATGTATCTATCTAAATTAGAATTTTTCTACCAGTGAATTTAAAGGAATATTTCTGTTGATTAAGATAGCAAGTAACATCCAAAATTTTTTTACGCTCTACATTCAAATAATTACACCTCATGTTCTAAAAAAATTATATAATCAGCCTGTATATTCAAAAATTACTTTTTAATTAAAATTTAATTATAAAATAAGACTAAATTATAAATAACACTTACATATATATACATATACATATATTTGATCCTTTAAAAAAACAATTTAACAGAATGACTAAAATTTATTCAAAACTGCTTTTTAGAAATAAAACTAATTTCGTTCAAAAGCTCGTGATTATTCATTTATATAAGTATTTTTCTGCAGATCGAGTCTTTAATTTTACAAAAGTCATTGGCTAAACTTAAGCATTTCACCTGTTCATGGATAAATTATTATTAATTTGGTTGAAAATGGGGTAGATAATGTTAGTGGATGACGTATTAATTGTGTTAATGGAAAGATAATCTAGGTTAATAGGGCATGCTTATGAGGGTGAATTAGCAATTACTCCATTGGATATTAAAGTTTTTGGTACATTTGTCGGTTTGATTATGGGTTGTCCACTATGGAAGGTGGACCCAAAACATTAATTAATTAATTAATTAACTAACTGAATGGTGAAAAAAAGGTGGTGAAGTGAATGATGACGTGTATATATATGCACTTGATTGGGTAATAGAGCACTAGGTAGGGGGGTTTAAGGATAGCACATCATGCAAGGAAGTAGCTAACTAACCCCAGAAAATTTATGTTGCTACGTGGTTGTTTTAGAGGGTTTTTACGTGTTGCATGAAAACTAACGGAACAGAGTTTTGTATCACATTTTTCAAATGTTTTTTTTTTTTTTTCTAAACCTGTACAATATGTTAGGATAGGAATTTAGGAATTAAAGAAAATACTAAAACAACTTTTTATGATCTTGTCTAGTAGTTTTTCCCCTCTTTGGTAAAAAAAAAAAAAAATTAAAAGAGAGAGAGAAAATATTTGGATTGGTAAAAAAAAAATGAGAGGAATAAAAAATTGAAGAAATAAATTATGGAATCCGCTTGACATTATTCTTTTTAATAACAATTTTTAGAAAAGAATATGTTTTTTTTTTTTTTATTTAATGAATCATAGATATGCAATTTAGAAGGATAAAACTCAAAAGCGCACTATTAATTTGTAAGAAAATGGGCCCAAAAATTTGGAAATAACTATGGTTTTTTCTTTTTATAAAATGCCGGTATCCGGACCCTATTACCAAGGACCGCCTAATTCGGCTGGAGACTTATTTACAATTAAGGCTCCTAGCCCTCTCTAAGGGTGTGTGTAATGGTATCGAACTCGAGAGCTTTTCCCACATGTCCAGTCTGCGTTGCCAACTGAATCACAATCCATATACATTTTTTATAAATGAGCTGGGGTTATCAGCTTACTTTTAAATGAGTAATAATAATATATAATGGCATTATTTTTCCACCACTATATGGTATGTATGTGAAAATTGCACGCAAATGTGGGACTTAAGTATAGAAACACATATGTATTTTTTAAAAAAATAATAAAAGATATAATATAATTTTTTTAATATCGGGGAGACCTAATGGATCGTAGTGATATAATAAAATAGTCAAACCTCTTCATAATCCACATTTTTTATAGCAGAGACTAATTAAGCTTAGGACTTGAAATTATCTATCAGCAAAGTGGGCTTTAGGTTTCCCAAATAACAATTTTCTCCGTGCATTCACAAAAAAACTAATTACATAATCCGTTATATTTGAACGCGGTTTATATTTGTTCAAACAACTCCATATAAGTCAACTATGTGATCATTAATCATAAAGGGGATTGAAATTTCATAATAAAAATAATTAATTAGAAACAAATGGTTACAATTTAAAAAAAAAAAAAAATTGCAGTGCTTATAGGCCTAATGAACAGAAACATACACGGAATGTGTTTCGATCAATGATTTTTTTATATTAATTAATCAAGCTTTATATTTTAATTATTTATCATCATTACTTATTTTTTCATTTACCAAGTTGCAAATAAATTACACCATAAAAGCCAGAAGTGACCAGTCAGGTTTATAGAGTAGGATTTGGTTAATTACTTTATGTGATTCACGAGGTTTTTTTTTTGTATTATTATTAATTTTAAATTATAAATTTCTGTAGGGTTTTAATGTAAATTCTAAGAACTTAATTTATGGTTATATGTGTAAATTTACAAAATAATATCATGAAAAAATTGGGATTAAGAGACTTAGAATAAGCCGATAACTGAATTGTCTGAGCTAAATCAATAAGCTAATTTTATGAATTTGCAAGCCTAATTTTATTTGAATTAAATAACTTTATTTTATAGTTAAGCCAGTGCAACCAGCCAAGTAATCCAAGCTTTTGCTCGGGTCACATGGTTCCGAGCCAGAAGTTAGCCACCTAAAGCCCAACCATCTGGGCTCTAGCCATGTTCTATAGTTACATAATCACAGATGTTTTCTTTCTGTTGTACTCGAATAAATGGATTCAAACCAATGTATCTGGATTTTGCCATTAGACCTAGTTGGACAAAAATAACTTTTATGTTTTCATTTAACAAATTATTATTTTTCTTAAAATTTTTATTATCATTCAGCCCGTGATCCATCAAAATTACTACCAACCATTACTAAAATTTTACTATATAATAATCAACATTCATTACCTATCAGATATTGCTAATTATCTCACAAAATCATATTAATATAATTTTTAATTGCATTATAATTATTAACTGGGTTTTGAAGACAAAATAAAAAAGAAAATTTTTGGTACACAAATTTAAGGAGATTGGTTTTAATGGATAAAAAATAAAATAAAAAGGACATGGTCCAGTATGCACAGCCCATCAAAGCCATTTGACCTCCAGGGGCACCGACCCGTTATCCTTCCACTGCCAGGAGCGGGAGGTAGTCGCTGCTCTGTGAAGCCAGCCTAACGCGTTGCCCTCCACTTTAGGCGCCAAGTGACCCAAGCTTTAGCCTAAATCACATGGCTCTACTCTCAGCTTGAAATGGGCGAGCCAAGAGTTTGCCACATGGAGTTCGGCCAGTTGGGCAGATACAACGTTCCATGTCTTTGGTGTCCCCACTTGGGTCACAGGCTCACGTTACCAAGCCCGACGCTGTGCAAATGTTTGAACAAGCAATATAGAGTATAGAGAAAAGATGTTTACTTTCAATGTGGGATGTTCTTGGAATTCCTTTCGGTTATATACACATACTCAATAGAAAATTCCTATAATATTACTGCAAAATACAGCAAAACAAGTTAATTATTTGAACTCAATTTGAATTATTTTGAGCTTTGACAAATGTTTGGATTCAAGATTTCAAACCATTCTATAAGGATTTTGGCATTAGACATAAGTTGGAATAAGGGAACTTCTACAAATTTCATTTTACAAATAGTAATAATTATTATTTTTCCTCACTTTTTTTTTTTTTATCGGATTTTTATGTGGAATCTTCAAATAATCTTCAAACTCCCTATTAGAAATTATAAGAAAAGCAAATTGTTCTTTTTTTTTTTTTTTTATTAGTTTCCTCACTTCTTATTCAAAGCAAATTATTAGACGGAAATAACAATTATAGGTATATGCCAACTACGTGCAGTCTAGTTAATTTTCCCTAATGTGTAATGCACATTAATATTCCAATTTATTTGACCTCTTACATTTTAAAAAATAATGTATCTTTATGAGGCAAAGGAAAAATCGTTTTTCACAAATATATTTTAACTTTGGCAAAACATAATGGAGATCTAACAATAAGGCTACTTATCACAAATATATTTTCATTATTTTTATGATTAGAGAAAAAACTAAAGTTTATCATTTTTACATATTTTTCTTATAATTAAAAATGAAAAATGAAATATATATTATTTTTATAATTAAAATTTTAATACTTTTTAATTAATTTTCAATATTATAATTTGCAACAAGGTAATAAATTATTTATTTTGAAAAAATAAGTTATTTTTTATTATCATACTGTATATGCATTTACTAATAAGCTATACCTTAGTGTGTCAGCATTAATTAGTTAAAATTTTATTTAATTCTTTAAAATATTTATTTTTAAAATTTATTTGATATAAATATTTTTTTTATTGTTTCAATGTGTTTAGTTCGCTTTTAAAATTAACTTTTACACATATGATAAATCATATTATTTATTTATCTACGTTAAGAAGGGGATAAATCTATTTGATTGGGATGGAAGAGATATTTATAAAAATTGTTTAATTAATGAATTCATAAATTAATAATAAAAGTTTCTTAAATTGTAGAAAGGATAAAAAAATCATAAACTTAATAATAAATACTCTCTCCATTTGGTTGTTATTCATTTCTGGATATCTCAAAATATTTGTAAGGTTTCTAAATTTATATAATCTTTGTGATTGTTTATTAAATGAAGTATTTTTATTAATATTTTAATAAATTAAGAGTAAAAAAGAAAAAATAATTTTTATTAACTAAATTATTCTTATTAACTAAATTCTTAATAATAATAGGTGTGTTGGAGAAAATAAAATGGGACCGACTATTTTTTTTTTTCCATTATTTGAAAATTACTAAAATAGTTATTCTCAATTCTCTCTTTACTACTGAGAAAAATATCTCATCTTACAAAGCGACGAGAAAGAGAAGCTAAGTTCAAAAATCGCCGCTATGGGGTTTAAGAGAGGTTTCATTTCGTCTGGTTGGCTCTAAAATTTCCTCTTCACTCTTGGAGACCTTATCTCATAACAAAAATGGCTTCCACAGCCACTTTAACCCAAAGAGCTCAAATTCAGTACCCAAATTGGTCAATAAAACCTCCTAAGTTCAACAAAATTTATAAACCCCACAAAAATCTTCTTTTCCTATCTGTTCCCATTTCTCATTCTCTGTCTAACACTTCTCTATCTTCCTCTTCTTTCCCTTTAAACCCTAAATTCCCGCGTAAGCTCCTTCCTTCTCACCCATTACATGATGCTACTGAAGAGCACCTACTTGAAGACATGGATAATTCAATGCCAAATCTCCAAAATTTTGAAAATTTGATTAAATTTGACTTACCCAGCTGCAGTAGCCAAAATCATCAAATTTTAGGTCAAGAATCGCCCAAAAGAGTTTTTATCCAAGATCCACCATGGATTTCAGCTCTTTTTTTAAAGGGTCTTTATAAGGTGGCCAATCGAAAATTTAAGGTAGAGTTTAAAGATATTGAGAAGAGGAAATATAATTTGTTAAGGAGGAGACAAATTAGAGAAGAGACTGAAGCGTGGGAAAGAATGGCTGACGAATACAAGGGTATGGTTAGGGAAATGTGTGATAAGAAATTGGCACCAAATTTACCATATGTGAAAGGATTGTTTTTGGGGTGGTTTGAGCCTTTGAAAGAGGCAATTGAGGCTGAACAAAAATTGCAGAGATCGAAGAAGCAGAAGTCAGCTTTTGCTCCCCATATTGAGTTGTTGCCAGCTGATAAGATGGCTCTGATTGTGATGCATAAGATGATGGGGCTTATGATGGTTGGCCATGAAGATGGGTGTGTGCCTGTTGTCCAGGCTGCAGTGCAAATTGGCATGGCTGTAGAGCAGGAGGTAAGTATTTAAAGTTGCTGGTTTTTCTGTTCTAATTTTGTCGGCTGGAGGTTAATTGGAAACTACCTATTTTTTCTGTATAGCTTTTTGTGTTTATGTTTGGGAGGATAATTGTTTCTAGGGCTAGTTGGCATACCCATGTCTAATTTTTACTTCAAACTTTCGATATGTGTATCCCATGATTACAATAGCTGTCGTATTCTTCTTAACTTTTGAGATTGTCTCCTTACAATTGATCGTTGTAGACATAGAATCCTCCTTGTTAATGGTGAAGAATTTCATCACTTATACAATGCTGGTTATCTGACGTTTACTTATTTATGAGCATGAAAGTTATAGCCCGAGTTAAAAGGAACATAAACATTAGTAGCCAATTTTTGTCCCCTTTATCAAAGTCTTGGATGATCAAGTTCCCTTAGTTTAACTCCGAATTTGTTCTAACTGCAGTTGCAATTTATTTCCAATTTTCAGTATGTAATTTCAGTGTTAAACTGAAAAGGCACTTACAGAAAGAGCATTGCTAAGCTTAAAGGGGATCGCTAATCTAATTACTTTGATCCTCTAATAACTTTAAGTTGAACCATGCATGATATGGAGTTTTCATAGCAGATGAGCACATTATGAGATCAAATTAGGTACTTTGTGAAAGATGAACTATGTAATATAGAAGCTCTATTGGTTTACACGTTACATTGATGTGCATTGGTTCCTGTTCAATTTTGAAAACTAACCTGATTTATTTTAGTCCTTGGTTCTGGGGTTACCGTTGCCTCTCAAGCAACATGCTAATTTAATAACTTAAAATATTTCCTTGAGCAACCTTTACCTGAAACACTGGTTCCTATAATAGAAATGAGTCAAACGACTCATTTCAAATAGGCTGCGTCAATGGTTGTCTGATATTTAATTTAATCTTCATGGTTATTCACTTATCGGGTTTCCACATTAGCAAATGCTACGTTCTGCTTGAATGGTTCAGGTCAAAAGACACGTTTTGTCTAGAATTAAGTTGAGTTTTGTATTGGTCTTACTGCAAGTAACCCAATTAGAATCCAGTTGACACGGACTCCTCTTTAGCTGTGATGGATAAATTTTGCTGATTATTAACTCGTCCAGGTCATCTTACTTATGCTGGTATATCTGTGTCGAATACAGCATACTTGAACTAATTGCTTATTAAGAATAGCCTAGTTAATTGATGTAGTGGTGATATCAGGTTGCAAAAGAAGGGGCAATAGGAATGTTTCTAGCAGTAAGAGAAGGGAGGAAGAAGTGAAGAGATGGGAAGCAGGGGCAGAGAGTGACAGTTGAAAACAGAAGCAGTAGAGGAAAGGAAAAGAGTGCCAGTAAGGATGTAGGTATGTGCCTGAGAGAGAGGGGGAGTTATAGGAGGTGAGTGTGCCTCAAAACCAATGCTTATAATTCCATCATGAAAATTCTTAAAGTATTAGTAGTTGATGTTATTCCTATCCTATTTGAATTAGTGATTCAAAAAAGGTATTTCCTAACTAATTCTAAGACTTACTAGTTTTGGAGATGGAATAGGAAAAGTAACGAAAGGAAAAGAGGCAGGATAAATTTCATCCATGTTTAGGAGTTTAATGCGCTTAAATAAGAAAGGATGATGAGAGATTATTTGTCCCATTTAGCCTCACTTTCTTTTTCTCTTGAAAAGTTGAGGGGATTAGAGATGTACCTTATAACTAATCATAATATTTTAGTAAGACTATTTAACCCATAAGCATAACTTAAAACTACTATATTACGATGATGACAACAAAAACAACAACTAAGCTTAAAACTACTATTTAAGATAAAAATTAATCTGATGTTCCATTTATTAAGTTTAATCATTGTAATTAAGCTACATCATTTTGTTCAATCCAGGTTAGAATTCACAATTTCTTGGAAAAAACTAAGAGTTTCCAGAGGAAGAACGCGGTAGGTGATGCTCAAGAGAGTCTTAGCAAAGAGAAGGAAGTACTCAGAAAACGCATTAACAATTTGATTAGAAGAAAAAGGCTTATTCAGGTGCAAAAGCTGGTGAGAAATGAAGAAACAAAACCTTGGGGTCGAGATACACAGGCTAAGGTTTGTGACCTTCATAGTTGTTCTTTTTGGATGGATAATTGATCCTTTTTTTCTGTTTTTTTTTTTTTTTTTTTTTTTTTTTTTTTTTTATTATACTTTTTTTCTGTTTTTTTTTTTTTTTTTTATTATATTCGAAATTGTGAAATTTTTTCTCTTTTTTTACCCCTTCCTTTCTTTCTTTGCCCCTTTTGATGCAAAATGAAATTGTGCAGTTGGGAAGTCGCCTGGTAGAACTATTAATTGAATCAGCTTTTGTTCAACCTCCAGTTAACCAGTCACCAGATACTCTACCTGACGTGCGACCTGCATTTAGGCACAGATTTAGAACTGCAAATAATCCAGGGTGAGTTATTTTTACCTTATCTCCTTCACGAAGTTATTTTTGTCAAAGTGCTCTGGATGCCAACAAACCATCTGCAGACAGTGTGAGTTTTAGGCCCTTTTTGCAGTAGGGAACTACCTGGGTAAATAAACCTTGGGAATATCTGATTCTTAGGTGACTCCAACTGATTTCTATTCGGCTATGGCCTCATTTGAGAGATGGCTGATGTTTAGATCTAAACTTTGTAGCTATTGTGATATGTTTATTTGGGATCTCCAGTGACACATATTGCAGTATATTTTCTCTTACTTGAATTGATATTCTTATCCTCATTTGTGGAACTGTGTTGATGAATTTTTTATTTTGTGCTCCCTGTAGGCGGAAAATTATGAAGAGGTATGGGGTTATAGAATGTGACCCCCTTGTCCTTGCTGGACTTGATGGATCTGTGAGTCAAGATGTCTCTTTTGTTTTGTACTTGCTGATTTGGTCTATTTAAAATTGATTTTATTTCTGAACCTGCTTGTATAATTTGCCTGAAAAGCTCCAAACTTATATGTTATTGCATTCTACCAGTTTTTCTTTTTTGTCCTTAGCATACATGACTGAAATACACCCAAAAGAATTTTTCTAAGCGAGAAGATAGACAAATAGGATATATATGAAATATTTAATGGTCTTACTGGAAGAAAGAAAAATGATTTCTATTGGCATAATGTTTTTCTTTCAATTAGTGCATATTAGTGATTAATGGTTCTCAAATCTATGTTTCCTACTGTTAAATCATTTTGCATTTTTAACGTGTATGGATTTGATTACTGCAGCACAAATATTTGATAGTGGTACTTATTTTATTTCTCAAACTTAAGTAATCTATAATCTTTTTCTCCCTGATGCAGGCTAAACATATGATGATTCCTTATTTTCCAATGCTAGTACCTCCCAAGAAATGGAAAGGGTATGTAAGAGGATGGGTGATGTAGATATCATGTGTTTTCTCAATAAATGCTTCCACATGTAATTAAAGCATAGTATTTTTGAGAATCATATCATGTCATGTTTGGGAGGGTGGATGTTACTAGATAATCTATTCTTTTGGTTCAAGCATTGGGGACATAATTCATGTGAACCACACCCAGCATGCATATTTTACTTTTTGTAATAAGTCTTCTTTACATTTGAATGATCTTATCCAAGTATCCACCTACATATGAAGGGTTCTTTGTTGCTTTGACACAGATGCATTAGGATAGGGGGAAAAAGCAAAGCGTCAGAGCAATGTGAGAAACAAATAGGCCATATATCAGATGTTAGGCCATACCTAATTGCATAGTTTTTGATATGTGCTCATATATGCTGGAAAATAGACCCGCTATTTCAGTACAGGTCAATTCTTGACGCGTTGGAATAAAATATGGTTGTATGGAACCAAGGCTAGCAATAAGGTTCTATTTTGTTGTTGTTTTCGCTCCTATTGAGAGAAGTACTATGTTCAGAACATTGATTAGAGGTAATTAAAGTTTATTTTGAAGGTGAAAATTTCTCATAAAAGCTTTAGAATAGCTAAATAACACTCCCATAATGCTTTTCCCATTATCTACAATGGTGTGTCTTCAGAAAATCAGTTTCAACCTCTGTGTTGAACAAGCTCATAATTAGAGTGACAGAGAGGAAGCATACTTCGTTGTCTGAGGGAGGCAGAGGCAGAAATGAAATCCTTATCTTTCATACCACACCCCCCCCCCCCCCCCCCTCCTCGTTTATTCTATGTTTTGAAACATTAAAAATTGCTCCCCCCCCCCCCCTCCTCCTCCTCCTCTTTTTCTATGTTTTGAAACATTAAAAATTGCTTCAAGCCTTTTATTTTCAGTAGTCATACCATTGGCAGATAAACAAGGTTGAGAGTCACCTTTTTTCCCTTTTCTATGAATTATTTGTAAACATAGGTTGTGAGACGCTTTAAAGAAAACACGAGTAGGAAAAAGTTGTGGAAAAATTTTTATTTTCAGATATTTTGATTCTCAATTTTCAATAGAAGATAGTAGTCAAGTTCGGACATTAGTATTTCTTGAGTTACGTGTCTAACTAATTAGCATGCTGATTTTCAAATTTTCAATAAATTCTTATATAGGTATTCGAAGTGATAATATAATATGTTGTATTTTCAGTTAAATTCTTGTTAAACTATGAATAAAAGTCATTTTTCTGTTTTATTAAAGATCTATGGAAGCAATAACATGACTGTTTCTCTACTTGCATGAGCTTGCCCTCTGTTTCTCCTTAGCTTTTAGATTGTTTTTCTTTACAAGTGAAGGGTAGATTTAGACTCTATTTGTCAATGTAGGATATTTTCCACTGTTTTAAAGTTATTTGGAACTTTCATTATGTGCTTTGAAATATTTGCAGGTATGACAAAGGTGGGCACTTTTTTTTGCCTTCATTTCTCATGCGTACTCATGGATCTAGGAAGCAACAAGATGCACTTAAACATGTTCCTGGGAAAAATATGCAGAAAGTATTTGAGGTAAAAATATTAGTTTACTTCTTTGCTTGTTTCTGCCTTTCTGTTTTTCCCTTCGGGGTTATTGGTAATGGCCATCAAAAATTGCTGGCTAAATCATCATGCGGCATATTGGAACACTTTCTTCTACTTGCTGATGATTGAAAAATTAAAACAGGGATATCAAGGTAGGCCCTCAAATAATTGATAGATTATCTCATGACTACTGAATGAATTAAGTGCATCCCAGCATTAACTGAATTTGACTGGAAGTTCAGTTCTATTTATTATTCTCCTCCATTTAACTGAATTTAGGGCTAAATCCACAGAAAACACTCTTGTTGCTAAATACTTCAATTTGTTATTGCGCTTAGTCATCCTAACAGATTTGCTGTTGCATGATGGCTTTGAAGTCTGACTTTATATGGTTCTGAAATGCATGTGAACAGGCACTGGATACACTTGGAAATACCAAATGGAGAGTGAACAGAAGAGTTCTTGATGTGGTGGAAAGCATATGGGCAGGGGGCGGCAATATTGCAGGCTTGGTTGATCGAGCAGATGTGAGCATTGCTTGAACTATCATATCTTTAAAAGTAATTTCATGTGAAAGAATTGCGTCTTTATGCAACCAGCAAGTCATGGTACTTGGATGTTTGAATATGCAGGCTGCCAGCTCTCAGCAATCAGCAGCCTGCTTTTTTAACAACTCCTACATTCTTTATCAATTTATTTAGTTTGATAATCCTTCCAACCTTACGTAGATTTTCTTTTGAAAGTCTGTTGTGTGTCAAGACTTGACAAGTTGAGATAATGGTGCAAGAAAGTGTCACGCATTCAATTCCCATGGACAAAATTGATCTGCCCTATCAGTTTGAATTTTTGGTTCACCATTTTTTAACAATTTGAAATACTGATGGAATTTTTTATGTTGTTATTTTTCAACATTTTAATTATATGTCTAGACAACATAAGTTTCATCCATTACGATGCATATTTCCGGGTCATTTTTTCCATTGGTTTCAGATTCCAATACCAGAGAAACCAATATCTGAGGATCTAACAGAGATTCAAAAGTGGCGGTGGAGTATGAGGAAGGCGAAGAAGATAAACCGAGAGATGCATTCTCAACGATGTGACACTGAACTTAAGCTTTCTGTAAGTCTTTCTTCTTAATATAGGTGCAACATTGATTAGTTGGTTGACTTGATGGGATGGTGAGTCTATATGCTAGTATATGTCATCATAGCAAGAAATATCTGTAGGTCTATTGCTATAGATCAATTGTAACTTGATTCACTTAACAACTAAAAGCAATTTGCCATACAGCAATTTCTCATTATGGCTTGCCAAATGCATATGCTTATATTCTTGTGGCCTTGGATTCTAAAGAAACTCATTTTCATACAGGTGGCTAGGAAACTGAAAGATGAAGATGGCTTTTATTATCCTCACAATCTTGATTTTCGGGGACGTGCATACCCAATGCATCCTCATTTGAGTCATTTAAGTTCTGACCTTTCTCGAGGAATTCTGGAATTTGCGGAAGGACGACCCCTAGGGAAGTCTGGGTTACATTGGCTGAAGATACATTTGGCAAACCTTTATTCAGGAGGTGTGAAAAAACTATCGCATGAAGGACGCCTGGCATTTGTGGAGAATCATTTGGATGAAATATTTGATTCAGCAGCAAATCCTGTCCATGGAAAACGCTGGTGGTTAATGGCAGAAGATCCTTTCCAGTGCTTAGCTGCTTGTATTAATCTATCAGAAGCCTTAAAGAGCTCATCACCATATAATGTCATTTCTCACCTGCCAATCCATCAGGTAAACACTTCATTACAAGCATTATACAGATAAATTAAATGTGTATTTGCATACAGAGACTATAAAGAAATCTTCTTTCAGTCAAACTCATCTTAATTGAAATCAGTCTCAAACTCAAATAACCATATAGATCCTTTTCCTAACAAGGTGATCGTTACAAAATGGGATAAATAAATAAATAAATATCGTCTGGACTTGTTGATATTCTTTATTTACTTAAATGTGTGAGAAACATATTTTCTAATATATCCATTTGTATTTTTCTGAATGGCAATATGCAGTCAAACATTTCTTGTTTCCTTCTTCCCTTTGTGTGACAGACACCATCATTTCTTTAAATTTTTATCCAAATAGCCCCTATCATAGTGATCTTGAAATTGTAAGAACTTGAAGGAAAGTTTAACCATGGCCTACTTTTAAGTCAGGTTTTCTGCTCAAGTAAATTCCTTACTTGATTGAAGGTCATTGTAATACACCTGTGCTTGAATAAGTTGGTCCAGCTCCTTGAGTACATAAAAATAGATGATTGGCATGCTCGTCAAAGATTATTTTTAAAGAACTTTCTCAAATATGCTTTCACAGGGAATAAGGAATTTTAGATTTGAACTAGCAAGGCAACTCCTCTAATACATCCATGAATTATCTTTGCTGAGTGAAGGGAGTTCATTTGAGACAACCTGTGTAGATTTCCAAACAATGTAATTCAATCAACTTTTAAAGGAAGAAGAATAGAGGTTTCTGGTGCCAGTTTTATATATGGCAATTTAAGATAATTTCTCTTAATATTATTCTAAACTGCATTACTCCTTGAGAAAAGATTTGCTCTAATTCCCATCAAATAAGGGCAGTGACTCTAACAAACACCAAAAGTGGCATCTGCATGCGTGAATATCATTTCACTTATTAGTGTAAGATGCTTAATAAGAATTAACTGCTTCACCTTGTTATCTGCAAGAAAATTAAGATATCTCTGCATGTAGATTTACACATCCATTTGAATTGAATCTTTACTTTGTAGATAGGCATAATAGTATCGTTCCATGTGTGTTTCTGGGATCAATATTGGCACCTTGGTTGTAATTTTCTTCTTTTAGGTTCTGGCATGTGGGAAGCTCACGTTGTTGTTTCTAATGGAACATGTGCTCATTATACACTAGTATATTCAAGTACTTTTCCATGTCATTGGGGGAGGGTTTATAGTGTGATATTGCTCTCATATATCTGAATCTTGTAACTTCTATATTTTTGTTCATCTTTAAAGCAGTTTAACTACAATAAATATTGTAATCATACTACTGTGGAGTTAATTCTCTAGCGCTCCATTTTCTTTTTTTCTTTTTAAATAGGACGGATCTTGCAATGGCTTACAGCATTATGCAGCCTTGGGAAGAAACAGTGTATGTCTTCTCTTCCAAATTTATATTATTTCTTTTTGCTGAACTTTCTAAAATCAGACAGTCATTCCCTGATTCTCTTTTTTTTCTTTTCTTTTATATGTTTTTGTTGTCATCGTTGACTATTTGGATATTAAAAAATCCTCTTAATTTCAGTGGAAGCTCTTATCAACTCCTTGGAATGTTGTTTGTCCTTTGACTTGGACATAGTACATGAATCATTCTAACAGTTTTTCTTGCAGTCTTGCATGATACAGAGTTTATCGATCTAATTTAGGCACTGATTGAACATGCTGTTAAATGCCTGAATTGTTTTCAGGGAATCCCTTTTTGCATAACAAAATGTTTCCCCTTGCTTATACTCTATTTGGAGCAGCTGTTTAAAACATCTATCCATCATGGCAGTGTGCTTTTGTGCTGCATAAGAAAAGAAAAGGAAGTGGTTTGTCTTTGAAAAGATGGAGCTCCCAAAATAATCAGAATGTATATTTGAAGAAACCTTGAACTACTCACATTGGCTATTTTAGTTTAAACTTTCACAAAATTACTGGAAGTTATTATACTTGCAGTCCTTGAGCATAATTTAAATGTAAAATGGAACCTCACATTTCTAGCCAAGTGCTTGGCCAGACTCTTGAATTCTAGCTGGCCTGCTCTCTGAGGTATGATTGGGAATCCGGTATTAACCAATCCCTGAAATCTTTCTTATCCTGGGTTCACCTAAGGAAAGTTTATGATTCAGTGATGAAACTGAATACTTAAAACTGTTCAATTTACTCCCAGACTGTTATTTTTTGTGCTATTTTCTTTACTGGTTGATTTGAGCAATATTTTAATATATTCTCATGGTGATTTTTTTTTTTTTTCTTTCAGCTGGAAGCAGCAGCAGTTAACTTAGTTGCTGGAGAAAAACCTGCTGATGTTTATACAGAAATTGCTGTGAGGTAATATAAAATACTATGAATGTGAAAGTTACGTCTATATTTTATCAAGTTTGGTGTGCATCTCTCTCTCTCTCTCTCTCTCTCTCTATTTACGTCTATATATTTATCAAGTTTGGTGTTGCATCGTCTCTCTCTCTCTCTCTCTCTCTCTATATATAAATATATATATATATATATTTATATAAACACACATATTCATATAAACACACATATTCATATATATTCATGCATACATTTTGCACATACACGTTAGCATATGTGTTTAGTATTTTATGTATGCATGGAATGACACTAAAGGAATTTTCACTGGCAGGGTCCATGAAATAATACTAAAGGATAGCAGTAAGGACCCGGCTACAAATCCAAACGCCTTGTTAGCCAAGCTCTTAATTGATCAGGTCTTATTTCTGTTACGGTCAAGTTATAGATTATGATATCCTAATAACGATGATTTTTTTTTTCTAGATCTAATATTTGGGAACTTTCAGGTGGATCGAAAATTGGTTAAACAAACAGTGATGACTTCAGTATATGGTGTAACTTATGTTGGGGCACGTGAGCAAATAAAAAGACGATTAGAGGAGAAGGGTCATATTACAGATGATAGACTGCTATTCAGTGCAGCTTGCTATACTGCTAAAGTAAGCAACCATACACCTAACAAGGTTGTTTAGGTTTTTGGTACTTGAGAATGTAGTTGCTATCTTAGAGTATAGGATTGAGAATTAAGTAAGAAATTAATTTGACTTGATTGTTAGATAAGTTCATTAAAAGGTTGATCATGCAATTCAGTTTGTTTTGGTAATGTATCTCAATGCTGGAGCAGCACAGTTTAGATCTAATCTATCAGCAGAGTGTATGTACCATGCATAATTTGAATTAACCAAATGATACTGGTATCCATCTAGAAATGTAAATTTATAATTATTCTGTTGGTTGAACCATTCTCAAGTATGCATCAACTCTTTAATAGGTGACGATGAAGGCCCTAGGAGAATTATTCCAAGCTGCACGTGATATAATGTCTTGGCTTGGTGATTGTGCAAAGGTATACCTTCCTGTTATTTCTGGGAATCAAATCAAATGAATCTGCTGGGAATTATGGAACATTTGATTGAGATATGTGTATTTTTTGACTATGATCTGTTTTAGGTTATTGCTTCAGAAGATCAACCTGTGCGGTGGACAACTCCTCTAGGTCTTCCTGTTGTGCAACCATATTTTAAGAGTAAACGACATCTTGTGAGTATTACACCCTTTGTCTCTGATTTGCATATGGTGCAGCTTGCTATCTTGCCAGATGCCGCTGCCACCCCCCCCTGGGGGGGCGGTGAAAAAAAAAAAAAAAAAAAAAAAAGTTTGAAAAAAAAAAAAAAAAAAGAAAAAGAAGTTCATTCTTTGTTAAGGGGGGGGGGGGAAAAAAAAAAAAAAAAAAAAGAAAAAGAAGTTCATCTTGTTCTTAACATTGGTGCAGATATAGTCCTTTTTTTTTATTAAGAAATCCACACATGAGATGGTGCATTTTGTTGCGCAGTTGACAGTGATACTGTGGTAAAGGGAATACAGGAGTTAATGAGAAGATCCGGATCATATTTTAGGTCATAATGAAAAATGTTGAAAAAGAAATCTATGGAAGGATCTTACCTCAATGCACCAGGGAAAAATTATTTGTGATAAAACAAGTGAATTTTAGCTGCCTTTAAAGTCATGCCATCTGGCTAAATAGTCAGCTTCCATGTTTATCTCAGTTGCTAAATGGCATGACTGTTAGTTTTTTCTCTTGCACATGAAATGACCTGATTAGTGAAGCTCCCTATCACTTTTTTCCCTATCTATTGCTTCTGTTTGAGCATGATAGATTTGTGTAATCATTATTACCTCATGAATGAGAGTGTGTGTGTGTGTGTCTGCTTAATTTTTAAGAGACACATGCTATTATTACATTTCCAGATGAGAAATGGTATCAAAATGACATTGGATATGAAGTTACACTCTCTGGGTCCCAGTCTTCCCCTTTATGTCTTGTGAAAAAGTAATAATTAAACTCAGTTTTGCAGATACGAACTTCACTTCAGGTTTTGGCCCTGCAGCGGGAGGGTAGCTCGGTAAGGTTGCTCTGTTGTTTAGCTTTCAGCCTCTCTTTCCTTTCTTTTATCACAAAAACTTATGAAGTAAATTATAATGTGAATACCAGGTAGAGGTTAGAAAACAGAGAACTGCATTCCCTCCTAATTTTGTGCACTCGCTTGATGGTTCTCACATGATGATGACAGCAGTGGCATGCAGAGATGCTGATTTGCGGTTTGCAGGTTTGGCTTATGAGACACTAAAATAGTTATGTGGACATAGTTTTGGAAATAAGAGGAGGAAATTTCCTTCCTCAAGCATTTACTTTGTTTTGTTTCTTTCTGTTTGTGCTTTGTATTGTTTTGTCATTTGCAAATGAAAAAGAAGAGTAATTATTTTCTTCTTTTGAAGTTATCAAAGTTGTTTAGATTCAATTCAACCCCAACATATTACTTGCTTGACCTAAACAAGGAATTTGAAGCATTATATTTTCATGGCTGACATAAGTCCACGTGGAAGTTATAAAGTTGTAAAAATCCCATCGTTAGTGCCCTAATTTTTAGATTTTTTCTTTTGAAACATTCACCAGGCATACAGTCCAATTCTGTGTCAATGCGACTGCAACTGGTACTATTATGTAAAAGATGAAACCTTGATTCTAATAAGTGGTAACTTTATTGTAATTTGGTGAGAATGATATGGCACATTAACTTCAGTTCTCATGCAGATGCTTTGATTTCCTTGAACTTGGTGAATGCTGCTGTTAGTGTCAGTCAGTTCTTGTCTGTCTCATAGTGATGCCTATGATAAACTTAATCAAAATGTGATGTTTTAGGTTAAGTTTAATATGCAAGATAAATGCTATATGAGGTTCTCAAGAAAAGAAGTCTGTTTCCAGCGTTTGATACTATATACGTATGATGCAATAACTTTTTCATAATATATGTCGTACTTAAGTTCTGCTTTGGGGCTCTGTTGTGATATGATTTGAGAGCAGGACAGTCTGACTATTATTTTTTACCTCTCTAATTCTGATTCTTTAACAAGTGAATCAATTCTGCAGGTGTGCATGACTCCTTCTGGACACATGCATGTGATGTGGATTTGATGAATCGAATTCTCAGGGACAAGTTTGTGGAGCTTTATCGCATGCCAATTCTTGAAAATGTGAGTGTTTTGATTCAGTATCTCGCAATTTTGTTTAGCATGGCTGAACATTCGAGGACATTTGTTATTGTCTTCAAAAGAAACTGAATGACTGTTTTCTTTGCTAGTAATTTCTGTAGCTGCTTTTTTGCCTTTTACTATGAGTAAGTAAATAAGGGGTTGAAACCAGAAAGTGATTGATTACTTTTGATTTTGCTAGAAAAATAAAAGACATAATGAGAAAGCATGCTGTTCACTACAAAAAATAACACGGATTATCGGTCGCTAATCCTTTGTGGTTGGTTGTAAATTAAATCAGAGATTGATTTGTATCGTTCACTAAAATCGGTAGCTAAAGCGTGTTTTTTTTAGTTGTATTTGTGAATTTATAAATTTTGTTCACATGAAAGCAAAAGGCCAATGAAAGAAGAAAATAAATAATGAAAACGTAACATTTTTATTTTTCAAATTCCTTTGGCTTGCTAAATTAAATACTACTTGCTTTTGCTTTTAAAATAGCAAAAGTGGAAGGAAGGAACTTTGACATGCTAACCAAAACTTCACTTGTGTGGCATCATTTATGTATCAAATGATTTCTTAAAATCCTGGTACAGGAGGCATCTGCTTGAAATTGGTTGTTCTTTCTTTTCTTTATTTTTGTCTTATTTCCCCCCCTTCAATTACAAGGCAACTCATCTATGAAAATAATATTATGTTATTTTAGTTGTTCAATTTGTTTACCTTTAAATTAACCTCAATTATCTACAGTTGCTCGAGGACTTCCAGACATCATATCCAGCATTGACATTTCCACCTCTCCCAGAAAGAGGCAACTTTGACTTGCAAGAAGTTCTAAAATCTCCATACTTCTTTAATTGATTCTCCAACTAGCAGTAACCAAACCATTCCTTAAACAGAAGCATCAGTATTCTGTTTTTAGCCCAAGAAAGGCCAGGAGATCCGTGGAATGCAGCGTTGAGCTGACGTTTCAAGTGGGAAACAGTAGCCTCAGGTTTCTCCTCTGGAGATCCAGAAAGGTTTTGTACAGATACCTATTGCCTTTGGTACACCTACAATCGAGAGGGCTTCTCAAAGACTCTGTACATGGTAATCAGGATTGAGACAGCAAATTCTAGCAGGGAGAATTAACTGCTTAGCTGGTCTACACAACTACATAGTGAAGGAAACTCGTCCTCCAGTTGGATTACAATTATTGATTTCAAGCGCATGGAGATGTTTTCTGGAAACTAATCTGCAGAAAGATACAAAATAAGTCGATTCTTTTTCAGACAAGGTATACAACCCGCTCAATAATATACGCAGCAGGTTCTCTTATTTTTTCTCATCATTTGAAGAGTTCATAGACAGGTTAGGCTTTGTTACTTTTGTCACCATGTATAATGTATTCTATCACGACGAATGAGACAAGTTGATACATGCTAGGAAATGCTAACTGTAATATCTATATAGCAAATAGCAAAATCAGTCACAAGTTTACTGAAGGAAATGCAATATAAAGATTTTTGGACAAGCTTCGTTTTGACCAGTATTTTAGGTTCAAGTTGTATCTCTGTAATAATATTTGTCATGGTTTTTGAAATGCTTCCAACTTATTTACATTTAGAGCCAAGCAATTATCTTGAATCTTAAATTCATTCACTTCAGCTACTCTGACGGCTAACAAGACCGGTAGCCAAGTTAGTATCTATTGCAACCCTTCTAGTTTTTGGTTCTGGATCAAAGCAGAGATGATTTCTATTTGCAATCTGGGCTCTTTTGAGGGAAGAGATTTCATTGATTTGCAAAAATGAAATTTTGTACATACTGATTCTATTACTGGATAAAGAAAAAACAATTGAGAGTTAAAATGTTCTGAATCTTATTTCAAATGCTGATGTAAAGAAACACCTAGTTACACTAGTTGCATCAAATCATGAAATCTATAAACCATCACGTCCTACCTTGAACTTGTTTCTATTTTATTATACTTCATCAAAAGACTATCCACTTCCCTGTACCTCCTTAGAGCAATGCAGGCTAGGATTCTCCACTTCTTTGTTCTCTGTATGCCTTTCAGTTTTTCATATAACAGGAATAACTTCATCGTCCAGAATGTCTAGAATCTGATTCAGAAAATATTGCTATTATCAGTGAGGAGAAAGCAAAAGAGATATATAGTCTAAAAACAACTTCTCAGAATACAAAAGGAGGTTTCTGTCCATAAAACAGGGATACCCAACACAAGCATATTCTGAAAACTGGATTGAGATCCTTTCGGATTGGGATATTTATTGATCTATCATGTTTGCAAAATCTCAACTATTCAAAATCAATGGTTTAGTTTCGTTTTCAATGTGTAACCATTCACCTCTTGGAATTTAAAATTTTAATTCTTTATAATAAAATCTCAACCATTCTTTTGTTTTTTAAAGGTGGATATACTACAAACACGGTAGGTCATATTTATAATAACATGAGAAGTTCCAAACCCAGAAAACTGATGGCGACAATGTATTTTTCAGAATTAGAACTGCAAAAAGTTACTAAGAACTTTTCAAGAAGTACATATTGCCAACCTTTTCCAAGTTAAGAAGATCAAGCTCAAAGAAATTCAAGGAAAAAAACGAATGAAAGTTTTATTAAGTGAACAACATTCTACAATAAACAGAATGGTAAGCTTATTAGAAGTTAGTGTCCTGACATTTTTTTTTTGGAAAATGTTTGGTTGAGAACTTTGAAGAGCTATTACTAGTAGCGGTCTTGTCTTTGAATCCCCATAAAAAGAGATAAAACAAATAACTGAAGCAACATGAATAATTAAATATAATCTCACCAAGGACGGCAAAATGTTGAGACTTCTTTAGCTCTGCATACCGACCAGTTCCAAGCATGGAGAGGCATTGGTGAAGAAAATACTGGAACTGGAGGAAATATATGTACATTGCTTCAATGTGCTCTATAGCCCCAGCTGCTTCATCCACAAGGACCATTTAACAGCTTCCAAATATTTATCATTCTTTTGCAAGGCAGTAATCAAATTGGTGTAAGTTATCTTATTGGGTTCTATTCCACTTTTTCTCATTTCCTTGACCAAATCGATGGCTTCTTCAATCATCCCAGCAATTCCGTATGCCTTTATCAATGTGTTATAGCTGCACAAATTAGGTCCCAGTCCGCTTTCTTTCAGTTCTGCCAGCACTTCTGCTACTTCATCAATCCATCCTTGCTCTCCATAAACATTGATCATAATATTGTATGTATAATGGTCAGAAGTGCAACTCGATTGCTTCATTCGTTGCAAGACATTTTTAAAACTTTCCATTTGACCTCTTTTACCATAAGCATCCAACATGCAATTATAGGCTTCAAGAGAAACTGAAAACCCGTCAAATTGCATATTCTGTATAGTTGAAGCCATATTCTTGAAGTCTCTATCATGTCCATAAGCAGCTATCATAGTATTGTAAGAGATTACATCAATCATGCCTTGCTTTCTTGCCATCATGAACAATTCTCTAGCCTTATTGAAGAGCTTAGCTTTTCCATAAGCATCAAGCATGACATTGAAGGTAATAGTATTAGGAGAAAAGCCTCGATGAAGCATCTCATTGAAAAGTTCAGAAAGATCATCGATCGGTACAGCACGAGCACAACAGTTTATGACACAATTGTATAATTCTTGATCCCAAACAACTTCACTTCTCAAGATTTTGTAATAGAGATCTTTTAACTTGCTCATCATTCCACATTGTTGATAAATACGAAGCATGTCACGAAAGAGGTAAATGTCTGGAATTATGTCCTTTTGCTTCTCCATAGTTTCCAGAACAGAGCAAGCAGCTTTCAGGGATCCAGCTTTCACATACATTCTTACAACAATGCTATAGGCAATCATGTCTAAAGAAATTCCAGAAGATTTTATTTTCAAATAGAGTTTATCTCCTTCAAAAAATAAACCAAGTGCACCATAAATGTCAATCATGGTACAACTGATGTGCAGATTTAACTTATCATCAGATTTGGGCATTTGAGTGTATATCTTGACAGCATTCTCAAGATAACCCAACTCCTTGCACGAACAAATTAACAAATGATACAAGTTATCCTCAAAAACAGGATCATTCCACTGTTTGTCTCCCAAAACTTTTAATGCATCATCAACCAAGCAGTGCTTCACATAAGCCATGACCAGAGTGGAACAAGAAGTCTGGTTTACGAGAACATGGTGATAGAAAGAACCTTTCAAAAGGAGAGGGACTTTATTAATCCTTCCAGCCTTCTCATATGCTTTCAGTAGAGTGCCAAGTATTGAAGGGTACTGACATCCTATCTTCAGCATATCCTCAAGAGTTCTAATAGCACCCTCTTCATCACCGTGTTTTGCTTGTAAGTTTATTAGTGTATACAAATTAGATGAGTTAGGTTTGAATCCCAACCTCTTAAGTTCCTTAAAATACAATTCTGCCTCCTTATAACTGCCAATTCGACCCCAACCCTCGATCATGGAACGGTAAGTAGTTTCATCAGGCTCCAATCCAACATTCTGGATGTCTACAAACACACGTTGAGCAGCAGCCATATTTGATGACTTTCCATACCCAGTTATAAGTGTATTGTATGCAACAATATTGGGAGAAAGATTGGCTTCTTGCATTGCAACGAAAACCTGCTCAGCCTCTTCTAACCGGCCTTGCTGGCTATAAGCATTAAGCAACACCAACCAATTCTCCAAGTTCAGCACCACTTTATCTTCTCTCATTAAGCCAATAACCTGTTCTGCTTTGTCATATAAACTTAGACGGGTGTAAATGGTAATCATCGCAGAGTATGCAGATTGACATACAATTCCAAAACTCCTCATCTTGGCAAAAACAAACTCTGCCTCCTCAACATTCCAACCCTTTTGGTAAAGCCCCATGAGCATGCCAAAGGTGGCAATGTTAGGTTGAACACCAAGTTCCAACATCATCCGAAACCATTTCCCACCAAATTTCATATGCCCCCGCTTAGTACAAACATAGATGAGACTGTTAAAAATTCGAAAATCTAGTTCATCAGAAAACCTATCGCCCACTTCCCTAATCATCCTCTCTGCAGAATCCCAATCTTCCATCCTACCCAATACTCGAAGAATCGTGTTATAAGCACTCACATTCTTTTCTAGCTTCCGATTACTCCTCATCCACTCAAAAAACCTCAATGTCTTGCTTTCACTATCACTACTACACCCCTCAAGCCTTTTCAAAATATAATTACATTGTTCTAAGCTCAAGTTGGACTTAATAACAGAGTAATTAACATCAAATTCACTATCATGCACAAAAAAATCCTCTATGTTTGGTTCACTTCCATTTCTTTTGTAACGAAACTTCAAACCCTCTTGTCTTTTCATCCCTCTCTTTCCACCCTTATACTTCTTCTTGATTTCACGCTTCAAATCCTGATTTTGTTCAACTAAATCCTCATTTATAGTTTCATGAACCAAATCGCTAGTTGTGGATAAAACTTTTTCAGACAATTCGGTTTCAAGTCTAGATACATTAATTGGACTGAATCTACTCACAGTGGCAATTATGCAAGCTCTAGTTGAAAGAATACAACTAGAAATGGAAAATGTTGAGGTATAAGTGGAAAATTGATGTGGGTTTCTAGAGAAATTTGATTTCTTCGAATCGAATTTGTCCAAAGAAATGGGTAATCTCAGGGATGCCATAGTTACTGTGGCCTCTAATCAAGTTTCTTGCATTTATAAAGAGTAAGAGAGATACAGAAAGTATATTCCAGAGGGAGAGAGAGCAAGAGAAATTAGGGTGTCAGGTTTGCCGTACCTTTTGCTAGGTTATTGGCAGAGACAATCTGATAATGGACGTTGAGTCAGTGGAGGAAAATAACTGACCTTTTCTTTTGGATTTGACAATTTTTGGCTGCTCTTGAACGGGGAAGACAGTAGTAACTTGAACTAGGCTGGACAAAGCCTGAACCGGACCGGATCCAAATTAAATCCGACCTGTTATTTGTTATATAATTATTTTTTCTAAAATTTATACTGATAATTTATGATTTTTCCCACGTTTTAAAAAAATTCTTGTTTCTTCTCAAAAAAAAAAAAAAAATTCTTGATTAGAATTTTGAATAAGATCTTGGAATCGAACCAAAACTAAAATCAAAACTTAATCCAAAAGTACTATTACCTTGAACCGAACCAACCCATGGCCGTGGCCAGACCTTTGACAGTACTTGCCTAGTTGTTAATAGTTATGCTCTCCCGTCTCAGTATATACATAGATATTTTTTTTTTAAAAAAAAGATCAAAAGTAAAATACGAGGAAAATATGATAAAAAAAATATTTATTATATTTCATTTAAGAGCATGTAACTATTTCAATTTAAATTATAATATAAAAATTGGAATTCAATACGTTTTTTAATACATTTTATAATATTATATGTTTAAAGATTGGAATTTAACTTTTTTTTTTATATATTTTACACATTATAAATTTTAAATTTTCAAAAATCATAATATTTTTAAAAAAATTTTCTTAACTATGTCTCAAATGTATTGATAACATAGAGAGAGGTATGGTCCATAAAATACTTCAACGTCATTAATAATGCAAAATCTTAACACCTCAAAAAAAAAGACGAATAGTCCATAACGTGTTAGATGTGTTTTCAATTTTCACATTCATCTCAAAATCCCATTAGGCACATCACATGAAAGCTCTAACAAAAACAGCCCCTTTACTGTATGGCATGGGAGCCAACCAACATATAGACAAAACTGGTGTTCATTTAGGAAGAGCCTAAATCCAAATGCTTGAGAAAGCTTCCTCAAGTGCCCTCTTCTTGCTAAGCTCCATACTCCAACCACCGGCCCTGCCCCCTCTCTCTGCTCGGAGTCTCATCATTTCCTCGTCGTCAAGCATGTCTGTTCCACCAAGTGGCAGAGGTTGTGGAGCCATGCCTGTTGGTCTTGGCTGTCCTCCGGGAACTGACGGTGCATATTGCATTGTTTCAATGCTGAATCCTCCTTGAGAGCTCTGGTGAAACGAATAAATTTTTATCAATTCATAGGAAGAAGAAACAATGATATTGATTAAGATGCGTTTAATGAGAGTAGACGAATTCAAAGGGAAAGATGAAGCAGCTGCCTTCAAAATTTCCATAGGCATACAGGTGGAGAGATGTATGGAACGAGGGTGGACCATTCCACACATGACAAAGCACAATATGAGATATCAATTTACTTGAAAATTTGTCTGTCAAAGACAATTGCAAGCTATCAAAGATAATGGGAAGAACTCAAAGAATCACTTATCTGCTATAGTACTTTAAAGATTCTAACAGTCAAAGATGAAACAGGTTCTATATCCTCCATTCTGAAGGGCCCTATTATGAAATCAGAGACCTTATATTGAATTGTCCTACTGAGTGGATAACCAAAAGCACTTTTCCTAGCCAATTTGGCGAGCAAATTAAAAGACTAACTTAATGCTAGGCCAGTTCAGCGATTAAATAAAATAAAGCATGAAAAGAAATCAAGACCAAGTACATCATTAATTTCCAATGTTATTTGTTGGCTGCAGCCCAAATTTTTATAGATCAGAAATAAAACCTAACATTAACAACAAGGGGAAAAAAAAAAGAATTATACTCCAAAATTCAATAATGTGGAAAGAACAAACCAACTCCTAGGAAAAGTTGATGAATGTCTAATGGTTCAAAAAGGTTTAATAAACAACAAGGCTAAGAGAGTGTGAAGAAAAAATTGAACAACGAATTTATTAAAAGAAGGAAAGAAAAGAATCAAAATATTTCATTCTCACCCCATCAGCATCAGCCTGTCCAGGATATGCCTTGCTAGCTGCCAAAGCTGCAGCTAATTCTTCAGCCTGTTGAATAAATATCACCACAGAACAACTTCAGTAAATATACCAAAAAATTGTTCAAAAATCCGGGAAATTAATTCACGTATTTTCTTTTTAATTATATGATAAAGATGCAAGGAATTGTAAAAAACAAATTTCCTGTGTTCCCTTCTCAGTATGCTAAGATCTCAACCTAAGACCCAGCAATCCACTGCCCCTTTAATTGGTCTGAAGCTGAAGGCTAGAAGAATAATAATGTCTGAGTAGCAGGTAACTCCACAAGTACCTTAATTGCTTGATTAAGCATTATTTGTTCAGCATTTTCTTTCTGGTACTTCGCAATTTTTTCTTCAATAGCAGGGACATCCACTCCAGCAACCAAGTCAAAAACTGTATCAGAAAATTTCTTATGTCAAGAATAAAGGTTCAATCAAAATGTCACTTAAAAGTTATTAGAAAAACGTACTCATGTCCTCAACGTCCTCCAAGTAATCATTGTATTCCTTCAAAGATGGAAAATCTTCCTGTCGTTTATTGTATCTATAAAAATAGAAGGAAAGTGAATTATCAGCAATAGAAGTTTTAACTAATACTGCCATGTAGATAATGACTACAAAATATATGATCAATATTACAAGACTGATGGAGAGCACAAGCATGCCTCGAACAGTCAGAATACATTCTAAATTTTATCAAAATTCATTGATCATTCGACATTGAAAATAAGCTAATAGAGAAAATTTCTATGTCAACAAATGCTGGAAGTTTTGAGAGTTGAACTATTACATTTCCTTCCTACCAAAATGTAACCAAACATTTCCAATGCAGAACCTTACTGGTTTTTATTAAACTGAACAAACATATGCGCAGAATAGGAACCAAACCAATGCCTCAAAATATCATGAATTCCTCATCAATTAAGTAAAATAATAGCTTAATCATCAAATTTGATATGCACACTCAAACTATATTTAATTTGAATAAAATAACCAAGGAGAAAATTTACATGCTGGCAATCCTTCTCCTGACACTTATCTCCTTGTTGGAATTACTACTGGAGACCACCATTTTTGTTGCTACTTCAGCTTTCTTCTTCTTTCCGTCCGTCTCTCTACAGCTCAATCAGGTCAAGCGGGTTGGTCTTATAAGGCATAAAATTGCAAAAAATGGATTTGACATAAAAGTGCAGATTCCTTAGACAAACCTCTTCAATCCAGTCTGATTTTTGTAATTATAAAAGGATTAGAACCACAAAAATCCCAAATTTTTTGTGCTGGTCGCGACTACTGCCAAAAGGATACAATCTACACTAAAACATTGTTAGCTTTTTGTCCAATTTTGTTGAAATCAAAGAAGGGGAAAAAATATTAATAAGAAAAAGATAAAATGGTATAATTCACCTTCGCCCTTCCTATCTTAAACTTATGAACGCCACAAGCCGGTGGCCCAGCAACGACGTCGACGCTGAGCCGAAGAAGTTACTGACGATGGAACCCCCGGTTGTCTCTGTGTGAGGAAGAAATTCTGTATATAAGAGAGAAATGAAAATGGAAGAACAGGGGAACAAATCTTCTCTGTTTTCAATTTCTAAACAAGTCCTATGTGTTTTCTTGAACTGGACTACAGTGCAGGGAGTGCACAACTTTTTATTAGTAATTAATTAATAATTAAAATTCCAAAAAATATTATAATTAATTATTTAATTTAATACTTAGATCTATTATACATAATCTTTGTACACACATTAACCATGTAATATTATTTTCATTTTTTATTTTTTTATTTGCTTTATATTCAACCCTAAGTCTAATTTAAGTCTCATTGCAATTAATCTCCACGTTATTTCTTAAGGCATGATTGTGAACAAGGTGAAAATGGGCAAAATTCTAATTGTTACTTTTGTTAGCTAGAAGTTTAACTTTTGGAATTACTAGGAATAAACAAATTAAGTATATAAATGTGTTCTTACATTCATTTTAAGAAAAAAATTTTCCGAAAATAAAAAATTAATAAAATAGTATTTTTATGCATTTACATGAATTTACGGGTTCGATACCATCTCTATATTTCCTCCCGTGTATCTAAGAGGAAAAAATAACAAATAATATAATGATTATGTTCTTAAGATTGTCACAAACACTTAAAATTTGATAATTGATAATAATTCACAATAAGACTAATTCCAGATGAATTTAAAAAAAAAAAAAAAAAAAAAGTGTTCTTACATTCATTTTTAAAGAAAAAATCTTTCCGAAAATTAAAAAATTACTAAAAATGTTATTTTTAAATGCATTTTACTGAATTTAACGGGTTCGATACCTATCTCTATAGTTTCCTCCCGTGTATCTAAGAGGAAAAAAAATCAACAAATAACTCATAATGAATTATGTTCTTAAGATTGTCACCAAACCATTAAAATTTGAATAATTGATAAATAATTCACAATAAGAGACTAATTCCAGATGAATTTAAAAAAAAAAAAAAAAAAAAAGCGACACACACAAGCACTTACTTTACACACCTTCAGAAGTAAAATAATGCTGGTTTTACAGTGAGGAAGCAATATAAGAATGTCACCAATTCACATACAATACCTTCTTCCCTTCAAATCTCAAGAAAATAAGCCTAATAAAAAGAAAAGAAGAAACATCATGAGGCACTGGCTTGTTTCAAGGGTTGGCATTGGATGTTTCCTGATAAGAAAGGCTTTGAGGAGTGGTTAGGGCTAGTTTTAGGTCTAATGGACGAGGAACTTTATGGCCTGGCTCCCTAACTCGCGAAGGAGAATGTAATGGCCGAGCGTACTCTTGATCCATTCCTCGCGCCACCTGTTGTCATACATGCACATTTTTATTGCTTGTTTAAGTAATGCTGTTCAAATGTGCAAATTACATACTGGAACTTCATTATATTGGACCAGACATATCAAAAGAATTGAGCGCTATACTTAATAATGATATGCATTTAAACGTCCAAGGCAACTTGACACTTGTACCATCATCAATATCCAAGCATGCCAAGGGCTTTATTTGGTTTGGTCGGGTTTAAGAAGCATTTATGTGAACGCTGGGTGGATGTACGGGGATAACAGCATCTGTATCAACACTGCATGAAAGGGAAAAAAAAATCAGTATATTTGGTTATGAATAGGTGTTTCGGAAAAAGGATAAGAAATAAAGCGTGACATGGTCTTTTCGCACATTAATTATTAATGTAAAGCTAAAAACATCGAAAAAATGGCTGTTGTGTGTTGCACAGCATTAAGAATGATAGTTTAAATTTGGTATGCTCGAATGAATCTACAGCAAGCAGTTTTAACGTTATACCAAGGTACCGTCACATTACCATATACGAAGTCTGATTATGTTGAGCTCTTTGAATAAAACCGACTAACGTTTATACCATTTGTCAACACTGTCACAGGAGAATCCTTTCCAGTTGGCAAGCTAAAGACTTCATGCAAAAACCAGGAAGCCAAAAAACACTTACCTACCATAATACTGTGAACTTAGGAGGACTTCAGATCATACATTGATTCATGCCATTGCCGGTCTATATGCTGAGCCATGTAATAAAAACAAAAAAGCTGCAGAGCACCATATGTGAAGATGGATAATCTATTCTGACTTTTTCCTTCTTATCAACTACAATACGCTTTCTCAACATTTTGTTACTCTAGCAATGGTTCTTTTATAAATATTGAGATTAAAAAGAAAAAAAAGAAATATATGATCACTGACCTGCTTATAACTCTCCTCCCGTGATTAAAGAAGTCCTCTCTGTTTTTGATTGTTGGGAAGCGGCATTCAAAAACCACTTTCAGCAAAAATGCAAGCAAGTTCCGCAGCTGAAGGCAGGAAGCTAGGGAGTGAAGTGGAGAAAGGTAGCATTGATGGCAAAAATTACAAAGATACAGATTGGTTAAATAGTACCAGTCCCTTTTATCACCATTATTCAGCACATGCAGAGGAAAGTATTTGAATATGAAAAACCAACTCCAACTGGGGACTCAAATAAACAGAAATGTTTTGAACTGCAAAACGGTAAATTGTGCTTAGTCATGGCAGTTTCAATTGATTTTAATTGTAGGAAATCACTATCACGTATTTGAAATTCTGGGATACCATGTAACTGATATTGTTATTCAAGTAAAGACACATTGGCAAGTAACTTTTTTTATTGGACGAAAATGTGAGCTGCCTAAAGGCACAAAAGCGAGATCATAAACCAAAATTTATTTGAATAGAAAACAAGAAAGAAAGAATTTTTTTTTTAGCGCATTATTTTTCCAAGAGTAAAGGATTTTAAATAAAGGGTTTTTCCATCTGCCTGGATATAGAATAAGCCCACTTCCCTCTGCCTCTCCATAACCAATGGAGGAACATCAGGCCCTGAAGGAATATTATCTAGGTCAGAGAATCATTTTATGGAAAAAAATTATCAGTATAACAAACAGTACTTATCAATTTCCAGTTAGCATACAACGCAGAGGAATCAACAGTGAATATGAAGTTTAAGGGTTAATTTCTTAGTATTTAGTAAATTAACTCAATTTTGACAAGTTAAAGGATATGTGAATTCAAATTCCCATAAAAATTACTTCAAAATAAACACTGCAAAATCTAAAACTAATTTGTTGAATCTGAAGTTAATTTTAGAAAAACTATATCAACAAGAAGATAAAACATTTTTCCGCAATGAAAGTTTGGAAAATAACATATAAAGTTTCCAACAAAAGTTGAACCAGACTATATGATTATTTCTCATTTTTCCACAAGCCTACTCACCAGTAGTCTTGACTATCAATCTTATTTTTCCCCGCTTCAACAAGCAAATTTTCAAAATGAGCCCATTTAGCTTCTTAGCACACGACACACATCCAAATCAAACGACAATATGAATTGGCTATAGCTTTCTACTTAAATAAAAAGAAAAAAAAAAAAAAAAAGATACCCAGAGATTTGGAAATCAAACAAAACGCAAAATATCATGAATTGAAATAAATGAAGGTCAGTAACTTTCGTTTTGCCAAAACAATGATACTTTAGAGAAAAAAGTAAGACACCAAGAAGCTCAATGATATACCAAATTGAGATACTAAAAATACACTCAAAAGACAGAAGTTTCGACTTTCCATTGAGCCGCAAAGAAAACAAGGGGCCTTAGACTAGGATCCTCGACAGCCTCCATAACCAGTAGAAGAAGGCCTTCCAGATTCTTCATTGAGCAGTGACGTAACACTGAGTAGTGAGCGAAGCTTTACGCTCGAAGGTCTGGCTGGTAGTCCTCAAACCTGTCTAATTCCTTGCTGGCAATTGGATCGCTCAAGAAAATGCAACATCCAGTACCCACGTAAAGGATTAATTAAGAAGAACAGCAAATGACAATGAACTTTGAAAGAAGAGAAAATTCCACTGGGTTTGACCAATCCAATCATTTATGAAAGTGGCAGTGGAACATTGGTTGCTGAAGAGGATTACTACAATAATGAGGCCAGCTGCTCGCTCAGCTTGCCATTGTCAATTAAAAAAAATAAAAAATATTCTTTTTTGTTTGAGAACAGACAGAGATGCCCAATTGTTAATTGGCATGTGATTAAGTGTTGGTTGGTTAACACAATTAAGTGATGGCACTTTTTATCTTAATATTCTTTATTTTTCCGACTGTGGACTTCGCGGACTAAAATTATGGGCATGTTCTTTGGAAGGAAATTAGAATTAATTGACTCTAAGATAATAACTAAAATGAGATGATTTCAATTAACGAAAATTAGCTTATTGAAATGTCTCAAAAGGCTTTACTTGAAAATAAGGATATATCCAGAGCTAGCTATAAGAGGTGGTTGATTCTCACATTCACGGTTGATTTTCTAGCTATCTATAAATGGGAGGAAGAATCTCAAATTCGAGTTGTATATGCAACACCTACCTAGAGTCCAATTAAAAATGTTAAAGCGGTATTGGTCAATCAACACATTTGCTCATACTAACAATAATTTGATTCTAAGTCTAACTAACTTTATATTTAAGCCTTGAATTTATTTGTTTAGTTTAATGAACAGTAGACTCATTCGAGTATTTCCAACTTGGGCAGAGTTTTGATTAGCTTCAAATTTGTTTTATTACAAAATTACCACTTGTCATAACTTACAAGATCGCCATTGCGACAAAATATATTCGTTTTTGGGCAATGATTATGTTTACCATCAATAATAGCTTTTTATTTTTATTTTAGCTTTTATTTTATGTTTAATCATCCACGCAGGATTGGTTGTGTTACAAGAGCATAAATTAATGCAAAAACCCCACACTCCAACAAGCACATCTTGAATTTGAACATCAAGAAGGAAACAAGAAACATCATGAAGCCACTGACTAGTTCATGCGTTGGGCATTGATTACTCCCTGATAAGAAAGTTTTGATGAGTGAAGAGCTAGTTTAGGCTCTATGCAGGGAACCTTCATGACCGGCTCCTCTCACGACACAAGTTAGTCTGCATACTCTTTGTTGGGTCAACCACCCACCTGTTTACAACATTTCATATTAGGTCCGACAAGTTACTAAGCCAAACTTGGCCGGAGTTTCATAATGTATCTTTTTTGATTTTGTTGCAAGTTCAT